TACAAAACTCTCAACCTTTTCGTCTCAGACCCTCCTTGGAAACTTGTGCTCTGTGACATCTCATTTGAACATTTTACTAAATAGTAAGCAAGGATGAAATGATAATTAGACTTAGAAAATATTGACTTGAAAATAAATGTTTTCTGTTTCATTAAGTGTCATTTTCTTTCTTCACGAAAATTCCTTCATTTATAAAAAAACACAAAATTATTACAAAACTTAAAACAGGGCTAAACAAACCAAAAAATTTATAAACTAAAAAAGAATTATTTGTAAAAAAGATATTACATCTTATAAAATGCATTTAATTTTTTAAAACAGATAAACATTTAAAAATATAAAAGTCTGAGTGTTGTGTTAAGAATTAGTGAGAGCATTACAGCTGATGAAAAAAAGCAAATTTTTGGTTTATGTTCAACAAATCTTCAGCCAATTTACAAAAATTTCTATTCTCAATAACTGATGAATCTATTTTGAGATTTTGATGAGTGACTCTACTAAAAGTTAATTCAATCAAATAGGAACTTGGAAAAAGATTTTTTTTCTCTTGTCCCAGAGCTGAGAGAATTTTTTCTTCAATTTCAGTACTAGTCCAGAAATTCTCATTCTCCTGAATCTTACTTAAAGTACTGAATCACTCTGCAGATCCACATTAGCCACATTTACTCCAAATGGATCCACCAACCATTCTGGATCTTCATTTCTAGCAAATTTCTAAACTTTAGTTTCATTTTATCATATAAATTTTCTTTTTCCAACTGTTTTCATTGTTATTGATTTTTAATTAGGACTTCTGTAAGTTGGAATTAATTTGTACAAAATAAGAAATTTTTATATTCTACTTTGTAAATTAGCATCTCTTATTAGATCCTCTTATAGCTTTAGTGGCTTCCCTCTGACAGTTCCTGCAGCTTCCTAATCTTTCACATTTTTTCTGTAGTGTCCCTGAAATATTCAATGGCACCTGTTGAGAACCACTTTATAAGTACTGATACATAAGGCAATGGTCCTGGAAATGCAACTCTCAATAACTTGACATTCTGTCATCCAAAAACAAAATACATGTAATGTAATTTTTATATCTATAATCTTGGGATCAAATAAGTTATCATTCTTCACTAGCAACACTTGATAACATTCATTCCACATGTTAGCAAAGAATTATAACCCTTTTTCTAAGGTACAATTGCAAAATGTCAAAGCATGAATGTTAATAACTTGAAGTAGCCATTGAATAGCCAATACTTTTTTTAAATTAAAATTTAACTACAAATAGAAATAGTCACTATTGGTGTGTAGTTAATACAAGTATGAACTTTCATGCATAATACCTTTATGAAAATTCTATTTAGATTAGCATCATTACTAGGCCACTGTACATTAAGCAAGTTCATTAATTTATGGAATTCCACTAAGCTGGCAACATGTTCACCAATGAAAAGACAGTCAAATTTAACCTACATTTTAACACAATTTCATTTCTCTCATTTTACTGTTAGCACAGGAACATAAAACTCGTCATTTTCAGTAACTCAACACCTTCTCAGTCCACAGTAAGTCAAGTTTGCAGGACTACTGTAATGATATCATCTTAGTAAATACAGTAGAATCCACTTATTTAATCATAGATATCTTCATCATCATTCATCCAATTATTTCAGAACAACATGCCACAAGATAAAGTTTTGTAAGTGTATTTTAACATAATTGTAATGAAGAGTTTTGGGTATACTCATCTTCAACTAGGCAGATTTAACTGTCTTTTCGTGCTATCAGCCTCAGCACATAATAATATGCAATCTTTATCAGTCTTAATCAGTGCTTTAAAACTTCAAACATTTTAATTATTTGCTTGCAGTACAGCAGTTTAAACCATTGGCTTTTATTATCCCACTTATCACTAGTTGTTAAAGGCAAAAAACATAAGGCAAGTTATACTGAATTACTATTAAATTAATAAAACTAGAAGTTATACATTTTTTAATGTTATAATATTCTCTTTCAATGTCAATCAATAAAACATGACTTTTCACTCTTATTAAATAAATCTACTTAATAATATCAATCAGTTATCATCATCAGTATTACAATAAGCATATATCCTTTTCAATATTCTAAGATTTAGTATTAATTAAATGAAACATATCCAAATATTAATGGATAGCAGTGACATACTGTTCTTATTAAATGCTACCAATAAAAAAAAATAGTATTTTTCCAATATAAAACTTATTTTTAAGGTCTGTCTCAGGTCTTTTAAATTAATGAAATTCCAAATTGAAATGCACAGAACAACTTTTCAAAATATTTTTAAAAATTGGAACAAAAACATGAAACTATAAATATAGACAACTCTTGCTTAACATCAATCATATAAATCAGGATGTTATACAGAAGGATGTTAACCAGAGTTTTATTTCCCATTATTTTATACAGGAAAAGTTTATAAATTCCCATTTAACACTCTAAAATTTAAAGTTTCCAGATTTAAAATGAATGTCTCAGTTTTATACCTGTATGTTACATAACAAATAATTATGTATTAAACATTTTAATTAATACTATGTGTACAGTCTGTTATTTAGTCAACAAAAGTACAATAAAGTATTCTGTAAAGCATCACTAAGAATAGTTGTGTGTTGATTATCCAAAAAACTGATTAAACAAAATCAAGTTCAGAGTACAAATTTTGGAAATTAATAAGTTTTTACAGAATAACAACTGTTGGCAATCTTCTATAGTCTGTCATTGAGCTATTTAAAAGCCAGACTATCAGGCTAATTTAAGGCTAATCACCAGGTTGGTTGATAATGAGATAGTTAATGGTTACATGTTTATTGAGCTATGCAGAAAACATTTACTTATTGTCAAATGTCTTCAGTCTTCTTCATAGACCTTCAGGAAGTATATGCTTTTCATACTTTTAAAATGTACATTGGAAAAACTATATATATAAAAACAATTTGTACATTATGATATACACCAGGCAGAAAAATTGCATAGCTCATCTGTTTTATCTAGCAATACTTTTCAGGCTAGTGAAGTTGTAGTTCTTTCTCTATAATTTACTACCTGCATCCTCTCTGTAGCCTTATGAATGTGCCCAATCATCATAAGGCACAGAAAAGTGCACATATAACATAAAATTCACTAAACATCCTATTTCACAGAACATATTGCTAACGTTAAGAAACATAACTGTACTGTATGTACAATAGAAGGATGTAATATATGTATTATTACACATAACTATTGCTAATCTGAACATTCTGCACATAAAAAGGATATCAGATTTGAGAATGTATAAGCTCATCAACAGGCAATGAAGGATATGACTTATTATTCATCAGTACCATACCGATTCTTTTTGAAAGAAGACAGACAATGCTAACACACAACACCATACACTGAAATGAAATAGGAGTAAACAGAAAAAACAGAATGTCTGATATGACTAATATGTTAATGCAAACAGAAATACATAGGAAATCACAGTAGGAGTACGCCAGATAATTGAGAAGCTGAATTAAGGGCCATATTACCTTCTGCACATGGTAAAATGTAAACTCTGAATGAGGGGTTTTCCATTCCAGAATTGTAGAACCTGTGTAAAGAAAAAAAGTCAAAGGTACCATACCTGTACATGCAACCCTTTACAAGATATTCACTTCCAAAGGTCAGTTTTTACTGCATACCAGTACAGTGGTACCTCGGTATATGTCTGCTTTAGAATACATCCAATTCGGAATATGTCCTGTTTGGACGAAACAAATTTTGCTCGGTATGCGACTTTTGTTCGGTATATGACTTACTTCAATTATACGTGCCATACATGCTGATCTCATGAAAAGATCAAGCAGGAAAGTGAGGTGTTTAAAGCCAGCCATTTTTTTCATGAGAACAGATTAATCATTTTTACATTATTTCTTATGGGAAAGGTTGGTTTGGTATACGTCCTATTCGGTATAAGTCCAAACATCAGGAATGGATTAAGGTCGTATACCAAGGTTCCACTGTATACTGCTTCTTCTCCATACTCCACAAGCTCATTATCACTTGCACCTCTCACACAGAGGCATACTCCACACCCCCTAAAAACTATATAACATCAAATACTCCACAGTCAAGAAAACTATTCAAAGCCAGCATAGTCACGTGAGCTAAGTAGTTAAAGATAATATTCTTAGCAACACAACCCTTTGGGGGCCGTATCTCACCAAAGGTCACTCGTAGAGATGGTTCCTTTGACTTTTTTGCTCATATAGGTATGGTCTACAGCTCTGATAAGGTCCTGTCTCATTGGTTGCGTTCAGCAGAGTCAACAGTTGTAACCGAGCAAAGGTGTTTCATCTGTAGCTGTTACATAGTTACACCTGCCAAACGAGTGCCATATGTGTCAGAACAAAAAGCAGCCATCATTGGTCAGTTTCATGTAGCAGTAAATAAATAGTGTAAATGAAAGACGCTACTAAATGTGATGTCAAAATACCAAACATGTTCCAAAACAGCGCTATTGTAGAGGGCATTCAGCAGAAAAATACTCAACAGCTCCGGAACTGTTGGGTCTGTTGAACATAGCCATTCAGAGGTGTAATTGTACCTTTGTACACAGTAATATAGCACAGTACATGGTAAGATTCTAGCTCTGAATGAGAAGGGGTAAACCTCTCATGCAGACATAGAATCTTACCTACACACACAAGAATTATGAGTAAAATTTGCATTTACATCATTTATTATGTATGTATGCATGATTACTCTTGAAATTATTAAGCATGTAATGAATAAAATATTAAAAATGTATAATTTTAATTATTATTGGTAAAAGTTTACTTTTAATACATGAGGCGAGTTCATAAAATCATTAGATTATAAAAAAATTCAAAAATTAAATTAAATTTCAAAAAATCAATCAATTTCATCAGCTGACTTTCCCATTGTTTAGGCCTAATTCACTTAAATCACTTTAAAACTATTATATCCAATAAAACATTACTTACTTTAGTCCTACAAACATAATTTACTATATTTTCTACATTAACGTCATTTGTTACATGAAAATATTCGCTTTTTGAATCGAAATAATTAATTAAAATAACCATGTTATCTTTCTACAAAGACGAAATCGTAACTAACCAAACTTCGTACACGACTACTTCTGAATGGATAAAAATCTAAACTCGCGCAATATTCGTCCAATAGAAATCGTCGTGACTAAAATAACATTTTAACAAAGATTGCGTAATTTACGTGCTGTAACTTGAATGGTTAAAATTCAAAATAGTAATTAAGTTAATTAATACGATTTTGCTTATCTATTATTGTTTATTTAATTATAAATAAATTTTCCTTATTAATTATTTAGAATTATTAATTAATTTAATTCGAATTATATTTACCAATAAGATCTTAAAATTCTAACTTATTTTAAATATATTTTTTTAATAAATTAGTAATCTCTGAAAATATTAAGTGATTATTACTTACAATTTTATCGAAAGTAATAGTAATGACAGACAATTAATTATGTTAAAGTTTTAAAATAATGTATATTTCCTATGACGAAATACGTTTTGTGACGTCATCGAAACGTCAGGGACCATATGATCGAAGAAAATCAAAACAAAGTTTAATTTAATCATCATGCCTTTAGGCCACAATGATATTACAAATGATATTGGTAAAATTTTCTAATAATTTTGAACATTTTAGAAGGGAAATAGTTAACGTTAATTGTTTTATATCTTAAATTAATTCTGTCATGTAAAAATTTTTGAATTTAGAATTTAAAGAATGCACCCCACCATGCAAGAGTATTCCACCTTGTGGATTCTGTGGAGCTCCTCTTCCCAAAGAAGAGAGTGATAAACAAGAACTCGTGGCTAAAAGGGATGAAAAATATGTAAGAAAGCAGCGGCAATATATTGACAGCTTAGTACCTAAATGTTCCTATGAGTGGACGCAGGAGGATGTTGAGAATTGGATTGTTGAACTAGGATTCCCACAATATAAGGTAATTCTACAGACCTATCAAACATGTCAAATATATAACTGATAAACAACTCTCACATTGTAATAATAAAGCCAACCACTGCCATATGCCATCGTACACCTTATATAATCCCTCCCTCTAGGGTCAAAGTATTTGGTAATAATTATTAATATAGCCGTTATATAGCCTAGTGGCATGCGGCAGTGGTTGGCTTTGTTATATAATTGATGACAAAGAGTAATTCAATATTAATTGAAATTCATTGCAGTCGAATTTCAATATTAAAACACCAACTGTACCAGAAAACTGGAACTGTACATGTAAATAAGAAATTACACCTCAATGCAAAATTTCCAGCAAAGAAATTTCGAACTGCAGTCGAATTTCAATTATTTATATCTCCCTGGCCGATGACCATACATTAGATATCAGCTGGGGGCATATCTGGAAGGGTGATTACAGTACCTTGATACCAAAGCAATCAGTTTTTCATTATTTTAAAAAATAAAACTAAGTATTATAAAGCATATCACATGACTTCAATTAGGTAATTAAAGTAATTCTAAGATAATTGAGTAACATTCTCCAAAAAACAATAGCAAACATATGCCTTAGTCCCCAAATCTGTCTTGAGCAGCATCCATATTCTCAAATTCTGGATATGCCACTGATATTAGCATACATTAGATCATGTTTCTGGCATAAATTTTGCCCATTGACATAAACCTGATCTGAATGATGAGATGGAACGATACTGACCTAAACAACTGATGAAAAGTTAAGTCAGATTGAATTCAAATTGGGTCTCTTATAGTTATATAATTCTTTATAGTACTCCAGATTAAAGATTACTGTCTTTAATCTGGGGTAGACATGTCTCTTTCAGTGCAAAGCCCCTTTTCTACAGGTACAAGGCTTTTATTGATGGTCAGATGGCTGAGGTGTTAAGGTACCAGCCTACCATTCAAGAGAACCTTGAATCGAATCCAGACTGCCAAAAAAAAACCAGGAATTTTTATGGATAGTCTGTCTGCCATGAAAAATTCCTGGGTTTTTGATATTCCATCCCTCATTGTCCAGTCACCACCATTATTAGTCTAGTATATATAACCTATGATGGTATGAAAAGAAGACCTTCCTATAGCTCACAAGGCAGAAAGAGCTAAAGGGGAACACAAATCTTGTGAGAGACATTTTTTGAAGAATAATTTTTTTGATTTTGATCAAATTTTTAAATATTGGCAATTTCTTTTCTCATCCATTTTATTGAGAATTGAGATTTTTAAAATAAGAGCATGGATGTCATTAGGGTGGGGTGAGGGTGGGTGCCAGCCCTAAAATAATTTATTCAAGCTACTTAGATTGATCATTATTGGGGGATTTCTTTAAATATGAATTGGTTGTTTCAAGTACTCATGTTCTTATTAATTTAAACTTTTTTTCTATTTACATCTTAATGAAAATTGATTGCTAAATTTTAAATATTAGTTTGCTTGATAATAAAATGTACAGTACAGATAACATCCACTCACCTTCCCCTCCCAGAATAGCCAATCCTAGCACCATTACTGAATAAGACTTTATTAATGTATAATTATATTTTTTCTGTTATACATCCCTAACTTAGACCCAAATGTTTCATAAATAAATGGGCACAGATGAATTTTCTTCCTCAACAATCACTTAGTTGTTCCTAAACATGGGCTAAAATACATGTGAGAACTTAAGACAAACTGATTCTTTCAAATAAAATTGTAAAGAATCCATCCTGCATTCATGGATTCCCTCCCAGTGGTTCGTCATACCAAATTGAAACAGTCAAATATCTTAACAAAAAACAAACTTTAATCACACTTGATCGTATATGGTAGAAACGCAATCCTATGCAGTTAATTCTTATCCTTCCTTCTTATCCTTCTTATCCTTCTAACTCTTCTTATCCTTCCTTGCCACTTTCGAACTCCACCACTTCTCCTTTCTTCGCTAATTCTACTGTCCTCCCACCTCTACTCTGACTCTCCTTCTACACTCCCTCTCTCCTATTTTCCCCACTTTTTCTCCTTTTTTTTTTAAATGACTCTTTGTCTACTCTTGTTTATTACTTTTATGACTGCTTGTAAATTGATTGGATATGGGCAGACAAAACCACAGTAGAGGGGAAGAAATAAGTCCAATATCACTACAAAAATAAATTGGAATGCAGGCAGCAGAAAACATTAAGAACCATTGCCTTATAGCAAAATGATTGTATGACAAAGCATGCGCTGTAAGTAAATACTATGTGGCTGACTAACTTCCACTTAACATACTTACATTTATTTGTCATGTTCCTCAACTTTTTTTATTCATAGCTTACTCAACTAGAAATTATATAATGTCCTACATGAACCAAAATACTTGCTAAACACATCAACAGTTTGATTGTTTTCTATCTGTTATCTGTTAAGATATTAGCCCTCTACTCTCAAAGATCCAGATTCAAGTCTAGATTGAAACTGCAAATTTTTGAGTGGCCAAATATGTCAACTTTGAGGTCCTACCATCCTGTTATCCCATTTTAAGCCTGACCTAAACCAAATCAAACATGAAAGAAGGCCTTCTTGGTTTCCATTGGAGAGAAAGTATTAAGAACAAAAGAAATAACAATAAAAATGGTTATAGTTAACTAAGTAAACTGATGTTTTCTATGCAAATAGTTTTATTGAGTAAAGGGATTCAAAAATGATGGATTACTAAGATTATCAGCTGTTATTGTGCAAATGTATGTTATTAGTTTGAAATTGTGTTGAAAGTTGCTTCAAATGTATTAAAATCAAGGAAAAAAAGCAAAAAGAGTTCACAAATTGAATGGGCTTGGCTTCTGAGTTGTCATAGCAACTATTGTCTGCTTCCAAAACTTCCCACCAAAAATCTAGTCTATGGGAAAATTTGTGACTTTTGGTGCATTCTATATTCTATCAGAATTGATTTTTTTTAATTTTTTGATTTTTGGGTCATCCTCACATTTAGATAATTAAAATGATGTGCAACATTTACAGCTTTGAACAAAGTTTATATACTTTTGCTGGCAAGCAAACCTCAATAGAAAATTTTAAAATATAGATTTGGTAATCTATATTGCAGAAAGTACATTTGGAAGTGAAAATTTAACAATTTGAAATTAATTTAGAGTAACACTTCATTGGTAGATAGCAAAACAACAAAGATGTCAGCCCGCTGCTTAGGATTACCAGGATTCAATCTTGATTGAATGAAATTTTTATTGATAGGTTTGTGGCAACTGCTATCTTTCACATCTTAACCATTATGAAAACAAGCAACAAACCCCAGGTGATATGTGTTATCACTTCCTAGAATGAGTCTGAACTCACCCAGTGAGACAGTTGACAACTAGTTGTTTGTTCTATGTTAGCCATGACATCGAGACATGTACCAATATACACACAAGAAAGAAGACAATAAACTCAGTTGTGTTACAACCTGGTGTCATTTGTTTTATCACACACAGTGATGAAAGTAAAATGGTAGTAGAACCACTACAAGTTAATGTGAATATGCAGGTCCCACTCTGTACCAACCAATTATCTATTGTGGCTGGTCAAACCTGTGATAGATATGAAATGGTATTATAGGTGCAGGTATATAAATTGTAAATCATTTGTTTTCATTTTCAGGATTGTTTTAATGTTTATTCCCCACTATCTTTAATCCCTCTTCTATTTATATATCGTTATGGGAGATTTCCAACCCTCTGCATAATACTAAAGTGTTATGCAGAGGGTTGGAAATCTTTATTCTTAATCAGACTTTTCCTATTGTATCTAAAATAAATAAATTAATTAAAATATTTATTCAAAGTAATAAATGAATATATGTTAAAGTATAATTATAATTATCAATAGTAATAATTTATACTAAATATTAATATATTTTTAGAATGTGATGACTGAGAATTTTATTACTGGCAAAAAATTGATTCTTTTAGATGCAAACAATTTGTGTAAAATGGGCATTAAAGATTTCAAACATATAAAGGTAATAAATATTTTTGCTTATTCTCAATTCTTAAAACAGAAATAAAAAGGATTACAGTGGTGCTTCGTACTTTGTATTTAATTCATTCCAGGAGGCTGAACTCTGAATTGTTCAAAGCCTAATCAATTTTTTCCATTAGAAATAGTGGAAAGTGAATTAATCTGTTCCCATACCTTAAACAAACTTATTTTGATAAATAGCAAATACACATAATTTAAGGTAAAAATAACATAATATACAGTACTAAATAATAAATTAAAACACAAAAGCAATACATAAAAGACACTCACTGGCCAATAAATTAGAAACAGCAGTTTTAATATTTTATTGGACCACCTTTAGCTCAAATTACATCATTTACTTGATTTGGCATGGATTCTACAAGGTACTGAAGTGCTTCTAAGTCCAATGCACACCATGCATTCATTAGACTTTCCTTTAGTTCATTTAGGTTTGACAGAAGTGGACTTTGCTGGTGGATCTGTCATTCTAACATGTCCCATACATTCTCTATGGGGTTACAACCTGGTGGATCTGGGCTCTGTGGTGGCAAAAGTGTCTTCAAGCTTGCTGAACCACTGCTGAACAATTCTTGTGTGATGGACAATAGCATTGTCATCAAAGAAAGAGCCATCACAGCCACCTTTTTTTCCACATTAGCCTTTTCAGACAATGTCAGTCATGTTCCTGATTAACTGTTTTGGGGTCACAGTTACTTCTTTTAGACATCAAAACTTTGGGTTTATTTTTCTATCAATTGAACACTCAGGATATATCACCTTTGGAAAAACCAGTCAACTCTACAGTTCTTGATAATGTGGCTCCAGTGAGACGGGCACCACAATTAGCCTTTTTTTGAAACTCTGTCAAGTTCTTTGCTTTTTCCATTTTTATAAACTTAATGACCATACTGACCAACAGCATCTTTAAATAGAAGCTTATAAACAAGTGGTAACTCACATGACTCAATATAAGCTGCATATAAGCTGCAAGATACATTTATTTAATATGCATGGGTGTTTCTAATTCATTGGCCAGTGAGTTACGTACTGTATAATAAAATGAATATTGCATTTACTGGTCTCATATTGTTGATTTTGGCATCTTAAACAGGACTGCCAGATCTGCTATGTACTGTTTTCATGATTCATGATAAATTCCTTTTTCGTTTCAATCATCTATATTACAACCTTCCTCTTACACTTCATGGGTGCCATGGTTAATAAGCAAAGGTTATATTGGGTTGAATAGAAAGATTTTGCACATTTTAACAGCTATCCTTACTTAACATTGATGTGTGATTTAATTATACTGTAATAGTTGTGATATATAACACATTATTGTTAATGTGAGATTAAAATAAGTTGAAATGTCTTCAGACAAAAAGTATGTCAAGCAATATTATGCTCGATGAATTTCAGAAAGGATATAATACCATACAAACAGTAAAAAAATTGATAACATGTATGGGGAAGATGCTCCTAAACTTCAAATGTGTCAAATGTGGTTTAAAAGTTTAGTTCAGGAAATTTTGAACTAAAGGATACAAAATGTACAGGGTGCCCAAAAACTGTCAATGAAGAAAAATTCAGGAAGTTGTTGTTAACAATCAACACGTAACATAATATATACAACCAGTCAAAAAATACAAATAAAGAATTGAAAACATGCATGCATAACACAAGAGTGAGAGAACTTGGGCACTTAATGAGTTTGTGTTTATATTTCAAGTGCATATTTTTCACTACTTAGTTCAAACTTTAAAGCCTACTTTTGTGAAATTTAGTGTTTAAACTCTGAAGCATTTGAAGTACAAGGTACCACTGTATTCATATCCACTGTATTCATATTTCTAACTTAACAAAATGTCTTCTTTCTTTTAAAATAACAGATTATCAAATGAAAAGTTTACTTGCAAAGAATACATTTGGGGATGTCATGAGCTAGCCATACTCATTAGTGCTCTGCTACATGTCACAACAGACCATTAAAAGCTTGAATATTTTATATAGGGTTGTATCAGGAGGAAAGGTAAATGTATGTGGATAGTATGTGAATAAAGTTTACATGAACATATGATGATTTATTACTATTAACAAAGATACAACAGTTTGAATACTTCATAATTTGACATATTAACTTACAGCATTTATAGTCCATTGTGTATGATGACAATTCATGACCTGATGGAGTGGCAAAATCAAGATGATTTTCAAAGTGCACTCTCAGCATCAATACATTTTTAAGCATGCCATAGTAAACAGCATGTACTTTTTGAAAGTGCATTCCTATCTTCTTTGGTATCTGCAGCAGTATTTCTCATCTGGACAATAAGTTGAACACTGGAGTGTAATTTTTCTTAGACTTCATCCCTTTATCCAGCCCCATACACAACTTGAAGTGTTCTGAGGAGCAGGATCCATGGAAAGGACACCTACATCAACTGGCATTTGTGTATTTTTCTTAGAAACCATTCGTTTCCATACATGGGTCATCATGAAGTTTCTTAGTTCTCGTTGTGACGAATCATCTCCCAAAGTATTTACTTTCCTCTTGATACACCTGTATACTATGAACTCAAGGATATTTGAAAATCATCACACCAAATTGTTCTTCACAAGTAAATTTTTTATTTGATTATTCTATATATTTACAATTTATTACTTTTACAGAAAATCACAGAATCCGTCCGAAATCTGCTAGGCATAAAACTAACTCATTTCACTCGTAGCGTAGCAGCACCTCATCGCGAACCTCTGGCTCTTTATCTTGAACAAAAATGCTTAACAGGAAAGAAAACTGATGCATTAACATATAGTAAATTTTTAAATGACTATAATCTTCATTATGATGATGATTGATATATAAACTATATTTCAAAATTGCTTTAAATTTGACCAACTTAACATTTTATAGTAGTAAAGATGTGAAAAAAAAAAAATTATTCCTATACTTTATTTATATTGGTCATGAAAACAATGCAAAAATAAATTCACTTTTAGGAATTTTCTTAAAAATATTTTATTTTTCTATAAAAATACATCATGCAATATTATTTTAATAAATAAGAAATTATTATCATTAATACAGTAATAAAAAATGTCATCATTTGCAATGAAAACTTCATAACATGTTAAGGCCTTATTAATAAACTTATTGCACATTTAACAAAACAAGTTGATTGCATATTTTCTAATGATTAATAAGAAGAATCTTATTTGCTTTCCTGTATAAATATATTCCAAATTTTTTAAGTATTATTAAAAAAAATTAATTAATTAATAAGCTACAATCCTATTTAGAAGAGGTACATTTTGACATAAATTTTGAATTTGCAAGAATAACGTGTACACCGTAATCTTAGTCTGCTGCCACTGCATCCACAAGTATACGCGAGCTGAACACCACCAGTTCAAGCATCTCTTTACCTGTTCGGCTCCTATTGCGCGAATGCAGCAACGAGTCATACTAATGAAAGACATTGGTCCATGTGCACCTGTAAAATAAATATTCAAAATTATCTGATTGTTTACTTATAAATACATAAACATTTTAAAAATTGCAACTAAAATTTGAATTTTATCATTTATCTACAGGTTTAATAGCAGATTATAATGAAAATAAGTGTAACTTAAATTCACAAAAAGAAAAAAACTTTAAACTATAACTTAAAATATTGGCTATCTGAGAAATAAATTGTAAAAAATTGCACAAGCATAATGATAAAAAATATTTTAATATAAAACTCACCATAAAGTCGCAAGGTAAAGCATAAAAAGTAATAAGCATCAATAAGCAAAAGGAATAAACAAAACTTAAAATTGATTAAATTAAAGTGGCAGATTTATTGAAAATTTAAGTGTTTATGTAATAAAGTATTCTAGAATAAAAATTCAACACTACCTAGTGTGTGCAGTACATATTCATTGTAACAAATAATTTTTATTCATCTAAGCTCTAACTATTAAAGGAAATTACTATACTACTAAATGGCAAAAATACTATATTTATGAAGAAGAGTACATGTACAATAAGCAATTTCTGACAAAAACATGGAGGATAATTTCTGGTACACATGCCATATTTTTCTTGTGTAAATAATAAAACCGAAACTGGAAAATATCACATTAATTCACAAATAAACACTTACTTTCCAGCAGCATTTCATGCAGTACATACTTGTTACATATAGTTTTTGGCTTTATTAATAGGACCTAATCAGGCTCACAATTGAATTAAAATATTTCTATAATTGCTGTTCAAATGTAAAAGCATTCCAATTCAAACTCACAGATTTAAAGTTATTCTGAGTAAATTTAAAAATTATTTATTTTCAGATGACACATACAGCTCAAATTTAACAAGTGCCCAAAATAATGTGTGTGTATGTATGAAATATCACTGGAAAGTGAATTTATGCTTCTTGTTGTGACTTGATTTGTAATAAATATAATCTTGACTAAAATAGTCTCCAAGGGGAAAATATTACTTTCAAACTTCAAACATGAGTATGTGTCTGCAATGAAATATAGTACCACATATTAATGCGGAAAAAATGCGTTTACAATAAGTTATGGTATAGACAACAACCAGAATATTGCTTGTTGTCACAATGACGATTTATTCTTAGAATTCAATACGAACAGCATGAAATGGGTCATAAGAATTCCTCTGTACTTATCATACAGAGTTAAACTGATGCTAAAATTTAGTGCATCAGTTGTTTATTAATGCTAAATGAAGCAAAGCTGTGACCTGTCATACTGCAGCACACAAACTCTGAGTGGAAATTAAATGTTTGGCAAAATTGTTCAAAAACAATCATCCAAACTAATCCAATTGTTTTTATTGTATTCAACTTGGTGTATAGGATTGTTTTGTGTTTGTGCTATTATTGTTAACTCCAACACTGTAAGCCTGGAATATATTAACATAAAAACAGTACACATCTGAACCTTAAAAGAAATTAAATTTGGAATTTCTTTCAAGGTTCAGATGTGTACTGTTTTATGTTATTGTTAACACTTCATATTACAATAGTGCTTTATTAGTAATTAGCTTGTAAAAAATAAACTGGATGATGATCATCATTTTTTATTTTTCCCTGCGAATCTTGGGCCTGGGAAATTTTACTCTTTCATCCTCTCCCTCTTGTCAGCCCTGCTTATAGGTGTCTAATACATGTATTTCTTTCAGTACAATTTTCTAATCAACTACATAATTTTCACAAATTGTCACAATTATAAAGGGCTTTAAAGAAATGTGTTACCAATAACATGGACAAAACAGAGGATGATGTACTGTTCAAGGAGGTTGAAGACCATGAAGGCAATGAAACAGGAAGTGGAAATGATGACAATGGATACATTTCAATACATTACATTGCAGTTCACTGATGCTCTGAAGCATATTGGAATGTACCCATTGTACCATCATTCCCACATACTTCAGAGCATCAGTGAATTGCAATTGCAATATACTAAAATGTGTTTTGATTGTCCAACAAATTCATTGGTGTACAGACCAATGCACATCACACTTGTTGAGCTGTGGATATGGTGAGCTCTGATGGCCGACTCCATGATTATATTATTAACACTATTTTTACTATTCATCTGTATTAATGTCACCTAAAGTTATTTTGAAAAAAATAAGTTTGTTAATGTCATATAGTATTGTTTTCTTCCACCATCTTGTTCAGTTGCCAATGCTCCAGTAAAAGCTTATTAAACCATTCACTAGTGCATTGGTTGCTGTGCATGGCAAGCTGGAATGTACCCAATGAAGATGAAAGTGATGAAGTATTGTTTTAATGACTTTCCAAGTTCTTTAATACCAATTTCTAATTATTTTGTATGCAAAAAGTCAGCTTATATTCAGGTCCTAATTTTTTTCAAAAAGTAAGGATTATGAAATTGGGAATCAGCTTTATTCATGCCAATACAGTAAATTTGTACAAAATGCAAGCATATAATGCAGAATGGCCACAAAATCTATAAAAAAACATAGCATTAAGTTAGAGAATATCTTAATAAATTCAATGGACAATGGATTAGATCTGGGTCTTATTGATACCCTAGAATTAAAAGATGATAGGTGTATTAAATACTTGGCTTGGATGTCACGCCAACAGATAACTCAATCAAAAACTTCAGACTAGCAGGCGTTAAAGCGAATTAAGAGAAATATTTTAATCTTGCAAGCGCTTTAAACATAAATATGTACGTCGTCTTCAGGCAATTCAAAATTGAATAGAGAATTCGAAATTGTTCTGTTCGAATTGTTTGAGTTGCCTGAAGACGACATACATATTTACGTTGAAAGTGCTTGCAAGATTAAAATATTTCTCTTAATTCGCTTTAACGCCTCCTTGTCTGAAGTTTTTGATTAAAAGGTGATAATTGACCTAAGATATTATAAAAGAGAAAATATATCAAACTCTGTTTTATAACAATTTAAGACTCAAAAGCATATATTAGATTTATTTAAACTCTTCTGATTATAGAGAAAAATTAAAATTTGTACAGAGAATAGAAAGGAGCATACAAATAACTTAACTACCACATACAAGGACTTTGTGGCCTATCTATTGTATAAATTCAATTATTATATTATATAAAAATATTTAAATAAATAATATATTACTTTTACCTAATTTAGTTTCTATTCCTCTTAGAAGATCATTTGTTTTGAACATAAGCAGCATTTCTCGAGGTACTTTACCTAACAATTTTGCAATCTCTGGCATTAATGCAGCAGCATGATGACGTACTTCATTGCTCTGAAAAAATACAATTTGATATTTTATGTTAATAAACCTATAAAAATTCTATAAATTATTATTTTATATAATGTTATTAAGTAAAACTTATGCAGACAAATATTCTCAAGTAAAGATCAGTTAATATAATAAAATGATTTCAATTGATATGTCATTTTCTTAATAATAAATGTTGAAAGCATAATGTGAATGTATGCCACCATAACAATTTTGTTGGTAAGCTATACTAGTTTATGCATTGGTATTTTCCATTACAAAATGCTTTATTATAACCTTACAAACTGCAAGAGATAGATAGCCAAGCAGTTAGGGTGGCAGTCTACCATTCTGAGGACCAAGGATTGAATCCAGATGGATCAAAAAACTCCAAAAATTTTTTGGGGTGGACCATTCAGACATGTCAGACTTGTCCTTCACCACCCAGATGTCCCATTATGGGTCTGGCCAAACCCATAATGGACTTGCTAAAACAAACTCTAAGTGCCCAGGAGATGGAAGGAATTAAAAAAAAAAAAGGGCCTCATAAACAGTCATAACATTATAAGCATAAGTAGAATCTACCATTATAACTTTGTGTTATAAAATAATGGTAAGGAAGCACTTTTAAGCTGTCTTTATTATTTTATCAGCCGCAATCATACAATCGTTATCAGCATTTTAAACAATCATTTTGATCATTATTTGCTCACAGTACAATATTTTTCATTGTTGTCATTTCTTATTTCAATTATGTTCACTGTTGTTAAAGACATAACTAAAAAACAGCAAGTAAATGACACTGTATAAATAAATAAATAATCAAGGTATGCAGTTTTTAATTATTTTAGCATGTCCTTTTAATACTAGAGTCAAGAAAACCAAAATTCCATTAATTATAGTTTTATTTATTTACCCTACATATTTCTAGCATTGCATGTGTAATATTTGTGAAATCGTGAAAATATAATCATTTCACAGTGTGTTTGTGAGTATAAGACATTGTAGTAGTCCTTTACCAATTAGCAGATGGCATGATGTTGATTTGACCTTATTTTATAGAGCCATTGGCATCATGTGTTGCCACATGATTTCTTAAGCTCACATCTTTAATTTGCATACACACTGTATTGCTATGCATATAAGAGCATGTTCTTATAGATGGGACAAAGTCTACACTATATTCAGCAAAGTATCTAAAAAATACACTACTTTTAAAAACTTTTATAGTATTGAAAGAATTTTAATTTGACTTTTAATTTTTCAAAATGATTACCACACAAATATCACCAAATAGTTACTGTATTGGTTCATGTATATTTAATTTACACCGACTGAAAGTACAGTGCTTTTTTCAGTTAAAATAAACTGCCACACATAAGAACATTCTCTTATAAGTGAAGCAGGATGTGTGCAGAAATCAGGGCTGTGGAGTCGCGTAAAAATCTACCGACTCCAACTCCGACTCTTCCTTACCATCCGACTCCGACTCCGTTTCATATACATAACAAGTTGGTAAGTAAAAAGGGAATTGGAGTCGGCGGATTTTTTGACAACTCCGACTCCGGCCAAAACACCAAAATTCCATGACTCTGACTCCACAGCCCTGGCAGAAATATAGTGTGTTTGTATACATATACACTGTATTTCTGCACAAATAACAGCATGCTCTTATGTGAAAATCATTTGTTTTTGTGCTATTTGAAAAATACTTCCTGCTTTGCTTATATATATGATTTTTAACACTATATAACTAGTTATATATATAGTGTTAAAAAGTTAAAAGTAAAGTAAAAGTAATGTTAAAGACCAATACCTCTTCCATTGTCTTCTGTTTCCGATTAATTCCCTCTTGTATTGCTTTCCATGACCGTGCAGTCATGATACAAGCCAGAAGACCATATTCTTCAACACCTAAAGCTTTTGCCCAGTGTTTAATTCCTTCAACATCAGCAGATAGGAGACTCATCCATAGATTTGAATATTGTAGACGGAACTGGTCTGATAATTTCTGTGAATTTAATTATTATTAGTTTCAAATTAATAATGTTTTGGAAATAGTATTTTAGAAACTTACAGAATATAGCCCATGATCTAGAAGTATGATATCAACATCTTTAGATTTCTTTTGAACAAGAATGTTGCCAGGATGAGGATCACAGTGTACATAACCTTTCACAAATATCATTTCACTATATAATTCTCCAAGTTGTTGAAATATCTTAATTCATAATAAAAAGCAAAAAATAATAACAATTAATTAAAGCAATATACCACAAATGCTTTCAAATAAATATATAAGTGATCAAAAAACAGTAATACACTGGAACCATTTTTTTCTGATGTGGTCTAAACATAAATGCTTACACAATATTAACTTTGAGTTTAATTACAGAATATTATATGAAAATATACTGAATTTATTATAAAGCAAGTAAAAGAATGAGATAGTGTAATGAATGATGTAGTTTTCAACTAAATTTAAAAGAACTGGTAAGAAGTCCTGTGGAATAGTGAACCAAAGACATTATACACTCTACTTAGCTATTAAAAGACAAATTAAAAAAAGGATGTGTGGCAAATTATATAATAATAAATTTAATACACCTTTTTAATTACATGATACATTTTACTAAATGATACAGTTAAAGTACAAGGTACATTCTGTTTTAATTAAAAATTATATCATACATAAGGGTGTATTTTTACATTATACATTGTCAAATGTATAATGTAAACATTATAATGGCGCAAAAATCTACGTTGTCAGTGTTGCCACTTTGCTATGTGTGCTATCGCTCGGCGGCAAGAGCGATGTTGCCGTTCAATGCGGCACATGCTACATCCCCTCTCTACACCGCACCGTCTGCCCTTTCACCTCTGCTGATCTAATCGCCAGTTGACTTTCCACTCTTGCTAAATAAAGTGTCCTTGTGCTAAATAAAATAAATAACTATTCTCTTAGTCCTGGTGCATAATTCTAATTTATGGTCGGTTGTGACGTCAATGAATCACGTGACGGAATGATCGCAGTTTAAGCCTATGGGGAGCTGCAGCCTCATGGCTTGTCCACGAAAGCTAACCTATCCCTCTGGGTGATTATCATCACTAGCTAATAGAAAACCTTTTATTTCAACTCAATCAATATTTTACCAGAGACAAAAAATAAGAAAGTTTTCATACTTTTTTTCCGGCAATTGTGCAATGACAGGGAGTTGCGTCACACTCTCTGTTAAGCCTATCACATGTTTAACAGGCAGTCTGGAAGATATTGATGCCGACATGCTCGCTATCGCTCGCAGTCGGCTAGTACTACACCTTTAAGGAATGGGAAGCCCATCAAAATATAAATACCATTGTTGCCACTGACAAATAAAAACCACGAACACCATGACCAACTTTCGTTGACTCAAAAAACATCACGGCCCACTTCTCTCTCCACTCTGAGACCTACACTTGACAACAGAATATGACTTTTAAAAAATCACCAATCAAAGATGATATGTTTTTGCAAAAATATGTAAAAGAAACAAAGGACAAAGAATTGAGTTTGATTCTTGACTGCCGCACTAGGTGGAACAGTCTCCTCAGCATGGTGGAACATTTCTACAGTGTAAAAGTTTGCATCGATAAACCTTTAATAGACACTGGCTCAGACACTAAATTCTTTGCTGACGAGTGGTCACTAATCAACAGCTAACTACTAGACTACTACTAATTACTTACTCACTACTTTACTAACACTAATAATTAAATTACTTATAAATAACTACAGATTGATATGTAGAGCCTATATAAGAAAACTGGTAAGACAGATAGCCACTTCGCCACTGATTATCTGTCCTTACATTATTATAATATAATATATTAATATAAATTAATTAGTAGAATTACCTTTGCTATTATTTAACTTAAAGATTACATTATAATTATAATCTAACTAAACATTCAAAGTTAATTATCTCTATCTTAAGTGTTAAACCGAACCAAAGACAACTTTACTACCTAAATGTGTAAGAAGTTTTACTGATTTATAGTGACCAGTCTAAATAATAAAAGTTTCTTAACTATTTAAAAAAAATGTTTTATTTCTTTAAAAAAAAAACCCATAAATTTCTGGATAGATAGATAGATAACACCTTATTGCACCAAAAATACATTGACGCTGGATCCAGCTGGAATGATGTTGGTCCAGCAAAAATCCAGCTGGATTAAAAACACTGCTGGATTGCAATCCCTAGTTGGCTTATCTTTATCCATAACATCTCAATCTTAATTAAGATTCAGACTTGAATCTCTCTCATCAACATGACAATATCTTAGAATGCAAAAATAAAGATTGCTCATCCTTTTATCTCTTATGTTTACAGCATTTTCTCTAATTTTATATTAAAACAAAAATGTTACAAAGTGTTACTTACACATTGATAAGGAGGATCAACACACAAATAACCTCTATCAATTTTATATTTAACTAGCTGTTACCCGCAACTTTGCCCGCATGGATTCTGCAAGCAAACCCCATTTATATTCAGTATTTAAACAACCATAGTAATTGTTATTTAACACCTACCGCTTAGAATAATGAGAATTGATCAATTTTCTGGAACATTTACAATCATTCTATAATCGAACCAACATGCAATAACAAATTCAAATTTAAAAGGATTCGAACATTTTGTTAAAAAATCGAAATATATAAAAATATTTATAACAATGTCTGAAATGTTATCAATTAAATTAAAACATGTTATCAATTTAATACACCTAAGTACTCAATGAAGACTAAACGTAGTTGAAAACAAAAATCGCATCTAAAATAATACAGTAGAAACCATTCTTCAGGTTACGCCTTAATCCTCTCCCTCTCCCCCTGGCGGGGGAATTTTGAAAAATCCCTTCTTAGTGTGCGTTTTCATGACATACCCTAACTGTGTACAAAATTTCACCTCTTTAGGTTCAGTGGTTTGCTCTGGGCGATGATGAATCAATCAGTCAATCACTTGGTCAATCACTCAGTCAGTCAGTCAGTCAGGACAAGTAATTTTATATATTTAGATTTTTGATACAGAATTATTCTCTCTAAAATAATTATATAATGCTCATTAAAATTAAAATATTTAATATTTTTTTATATACCTGAGTAGATGAAATATGATTTTCCTTTAAATAATTTTTATCATTAACTTGACCTCCTTCACAATATTCCATAGTTAATACTCTAGGTGATGAAAATTCCCAAAAGACTTGTGGAACCTAGTAATCAAGACAAATACTAAAATTAAAATTTGATAAATATAAAGAATCTTCCAGAAAAGAATTATACCATTTTACATTACTGTAATTATGTTAATTATTATCCAAGAGCATTATAATGTACAGTACATTGTAACATTGGAAAACTGTCCAAGTTTCACATTTGATCATTACAATTTCTCAACATGTGCATCTCATTTCAGAGCACACATCTGACCGATACTGAAATTCTTCTTATATTCATTACAGCATATATCTTGTTATTCCTCCCATGACAACCATAATTCTATGGCTTCAACAGATTATTCATTTTGCACAATGACGAGTGATTCCAACTTTTTGAATTGAAAACACAAAACACCTTCTCTATTGCAATCAGATTTTCCTTTATGGCACTTCCTAAATGACAAGACATTTGAATGCAGATGAGAGATGAAACTCAGTTACTCTATTGACTGATGTATGTTGCATACTTCTTGGATAATTATTAACATAATTATGGTAATTTAAAATACTAACATTCAGTCTGGAAGATCCTATATATATTTATGTTATGCTGAATTTGTATTTTTAATTCTTTGTTCTAGAACTCAATGGCTAAAAACATGACAGAACAAATTTTTTTCTAAATTTCTATAAGATTTTTCTTGCAAACTGTCTTTATCTGTCAAATGTTCACTTTTATTTAATCACCTTAGCCACAAGGCCTTCAGTTAGATATGTGAATTATCTCTACTGGATCAATAGAAGTTTCAGAAAAAAGTGTGATGAAAATATCTTAATTTTTATTATAAGAAAATAAAATATTAAAATATTTGTTAAAAGCTGTAATATCATGAATCTGTCATAAAAGTTAGGTAGCTTGCCATATTGTGGTGAATCTTAAATTTCAAGTAAAGACAAACAGTGCTGCATTGTTTTTATAATTACATATCTGTGGAAAATATCTGTATAAAATAAATGATATTTACATTTTTTTATATTAAACAATGAACCTTTAATTTATTTACAAAAATATACAGGTAACTCCTGTATAACACAGCACTTCTATAACACGGATTCACTCTAACACAGTTTGAGAATTGGTAAAACCCTCGTACAACATGAAATGTACAGTAATAAAAACTATTAAAAGCAAACTCTATCTAATTTGAAATTAGGGAAATCCCCATACAACAGTTCAATAACAGTTCAATGATAAAGCTTTTAAGTGCAAAAGATACCTCATTTGACATTTTTCATTCGAGTGCGTATGTATTATCAGATTTTCCTGTATAATTTTCGTGAACTATTAGTACATAAGTATGTAAATTTTTTTTCCCACCTTCTGTCGATACACGTGGTCTTTCTCGAAACTTGTTTCAGTGTTGCCATATCTTGACGCCTCAGCTTTTGATGTTGCCAGATGTTTTCCCTTATTCCATACTTGCTTTATTCTTCATAAGTGCTTAGCACCATATAAGAAAATTTATATAGATCTTTTAACTAAAAGCAAGCAATCTAAAATAACACTTTTTGCAAAAGATAAAGCACAAATATGAAGATAATGCAGAAAAATGCTCAGAGGATAAGGATATCTTGCCAAAAAGAAAACGCCCTCAGTTAATAGTGCTTAGTGATCACGAAGAAAACATTGTTTAATTTATATTAATAGGCTATGTATCACTTCTTAAGAAAATTTTAATAAAGATATTTATCTTAATTATGAAAATATAATAGCATGTTTTTTTAATTTTTGGAACCTAACCCCCCTTTTCGTACTAGTTCTCTGTTTCGTATAACACAGATTCGTTTAACACGGCAATTTTTTGGAACATAACTCCCGTGTTATATGGGGGTTACCTGTAATTATATACATTTAAAATAATGTGCAACAATCATATTTAAGGAATATGCCACAAGAGGCCAGCATATTATTCAGTTTGTTCTGCCAAGGACTGTCAATTATCACCTATTGTAAATGTATAATTTTTATTACTTTTGTACTTAAAAAATAAGCATAAAAGTAAGAACTGAACTATTCATTAATTACAAAATAACAAGTAATTTATGTATAATTATACAGTGGTAACTCAGGATATGAATGCCCCAGCATACGAAATTTTCAGGATATGACATGAAATTCGAACACATTTTTGCTCCATGATATGAACAAAAACTCACCATACGACGTTACATTAGTTCTCAGTGCCATTTTTTATTCACTTCTGTTCATCGGTCTCAGTCCGCGTGTTTGCTTCGTCGTGGAAGGATCTCACTTGATAAAGGAAATCTTGAGACATTATCAGAAAGTGACTGATTTTATTGAAAAAAAAATCCCAAAAAAGTTCACACTGGCCGTATTGCTACTCGGAGTAATGACATTTGCCAAAGTCATTTTAGAAACATTTTAAAAAGTAGGCAAAGCCAAACTTCTTTGGATAGATATTTTACCAAGCCACCTCTATCCAGTGAAAGTGCTGGTGGAAGTGAAGGAAAGAGAGCAAAAAGCAGTGAATAAAAATTAAAATATATATATATAAANTTAAAAAAAATTAATTAATTAATAAGCTACAATCCTATTTAGAAGAGGTACATTTTGACATAAATTTTGAATTTGCAAGAATAACGTGTACACCGTAATCTTAGTCTGCTGCCACTGCATCCACAAGTATACGCGAGCTGAACACCACCAGTTCAAGCATCTCTTTACCTGTTCGGCTCCTATTGCGCGAATGCAGCAACGAGTCATACTAATGAAAGACATTGGTCCATGTGCACCTGTAAAATAAATATTCAAAATTATCTGATTGTTTACTTATAAATACATAAACATTTTAAAAATTGCAACTAAAATTTGAATTTTATCATTTATCTACAGGTTTAATAGCAGATTATAATGAAAATAAGTGTAACTTAAATTCACAAAAAGAAAAAAACTTTAAACTATAACTTAAAATATTGGCTATCTGAGAAATAAATTGTAAAAAATTGCACAAGCATAATGATAAAAAATATTTTAATATAAAACTCACCATAAAGTCGCAAGGTAAAGCATAAAAAGTAATAAGCATCAATAAGCAAAAGGAATAAACAAAACTTAAAATTGATTAAATTAAAGTGGCAGATTTATTGAAAATTTAAGTGTTTATGTAATAAAGTATTCTAGAATAAAAATTCAACACTACCTAGTGTGTGCAGTACATATTCATTGTAACAAATAATTTTTATTCATCTAAGCTCTAACTATTAAAGGAAATTACTATACTACTAAATGGCAAAAATACTATATTTATGAAGAAGAGTACATGTACAATAAGCAATTTCTGACAAAAACATGGAGGATAATTTCTGGTACACATGCCATATTTTTCTTGTGTAAATAATAAAACCGAAACTGGAAAATATCACATTAATTCACAAATAAACACTTACTTTCCAGCAGCATTTCATGCAGTACATACTTGTTACATATAGTTTTTGGCTTTATTAATAGGACCTAATCAGGCTCACAATTGAATTAAAATATTTCTATAATTGCTGTTCAAATGTAAAAGCATTCCAATTCAAACTCACAGATTTAAAGTTATTCTGAGTAAATTTAAAAATTATTTATTTTCAGATGACACATACAGCTCAAATTTAACAAGTGCCCAAAATAATGTGTGTGTATGTATGAAATATCACTGGAAAGTGAATTTATGCTTCTTGTTGTGACTTGATTTGTAATAAATATAATCTTGACTAAAATAGTCTCCAAGGGGAAAATATTACTTTCAAACTTCAAACATGAGTATGTGTCTGCAATGAAATATAGTACCACATATTAATGCGGAAAAAATGCGTTTACAATAAGTTATGGTATAGACAACAACCAGAATATTGCTTGTTGTCACAATGACGATTTATTCTTAGAATTCAATACGAACAGCATGAAATGGGTCATAAGAATTCCTCTGTACTTATCATACAGAGTTAAACTGATGCTAAAATTTAGTGCATCAGTTGTTTATTAATGCTAAATGAAGCAAAGCTGTGACCTGTCATACTGCAGCACACAAACTCTGAGTGGAAATTAAATGTTTGGCAAAATTGTTCAAAAACAATCATCCAAACTAATCCAATTGTTTTTATTGTATTCAACTTGGTGTATAGGATTGTTTTGTGTTTGTGCTATTATTGTTAACTCCAACACTGTAAGCCTGGAATATATTAACATAAAAACAGTACACATCTGAACCTTAAAAGAAATTAAATTTGGAATTTCTTTCAAGGTTCAGATGTGTACTGTTTTATGTTATTGTTAACACTTCATATTACAATAGTGCTTTATTAGTAATTAGCTTGTAAAAAATAAACTGGATGATGATCATCATTTTTTATTTTTCCCTGCGAATCTTGGGCCTGGGAAATTTTACTCTTTCATCCTCTCCCTCTTGTCAGCCCTGCTTATAGGTGTCTAATACATGTATTTCTTTCAGTACAATTTTCTAATCAACTACATAATTTTCACAAATTGTCACAATTATAAAGGGCTTTAAAGAAATGTGTTACCAATAACATGGACAAAACAGAGGATGATGTACTGTTCAAGGAGGTTGAAGACCATGAAGGCAATGAAACAGGAAGTGGAAATGATGACAATGGATACATTTCAATACATTACATTGCAGTTCACTGATGCTCTGAAGCATATTGGAATGTACCCATTGTACCATCATTCCCACATACTTCAGAGCATCAGTGAATTGCAATTGCAATATACTAAAATGTGTTTTGATTGTCCAACAAATTCATTGGTGTACAGACCAATGCACATCACACTTGTTGAGCTGTGGATATGGTGAGCTCTGATGGCCGACTCCATGATTATATTATTAACACTATTTTTACTATTCATCTGTATTAATGTCACCTAAAGTTATTTTGAAAAAAATAAGTTTGTTAATGTCATATAGTATTGTTTTCTTCCACCATCTTGTTCAGTTGCCAATGCTCCAGTAAAAGCTTATTAAACCATTCACTAGTGCATTGGTTGCTGTGCATGGCAAGCTGGAATGTACCCAATGAAGATGAAAGTGATGAAGTATTGTTTTAATGACTTTCCAAGTTCTTTAATACCAATTTCTAATTATTTTGTATGCAAAAAGTCAGCTTATATTCAGGTCCTAATTTTTTTCAAAAAGTAAGGATTATGAAATTGGGAATCAGCTTTATTCATGCCAATACAGTAAATTTGTACAAAATGCAAGCATATAATGCAGAATGGCCACAAAATCTATAAAAAAACATAGCATTAAGTTAGAGAATATCTTAATAAATTCAATGGACAATGGATTAGATCTGGGTCTTATTGATACCCTAGAATTAAAAGATGATAGGTGTATTAAATACTTGGCTTGGATGTCACGCCAACAGATAACTCAATCAAAAACTTCAGACTAGCAGGCGTTAAAGCGAATTAAGAGAAATATTTTAATCTTGCAAGCGCTTTAAACATAAATATGTACGTCGTCTTCAGGCAATTCAAAATTGAATAGAGAATTCGAAATTGTTCTGTTCGAATTGTTTGAGTTGCCTGAAGACGACATACATATTTACGTTGAAAGTGCTTGCAAGATTAAAATATTTCTCTTAATTCGCTTTAACGCCTCCTTGTCTGAAGTTTTTGATTAAAAGGTGATAATTGACCTAAGATATTATAAAAGAGAAAATATATCAAACTCTGTTTTATAACAATTTAAGACTCAAAAGCATATATTAGATTTATTTAAACTCTTCTGATTATAGAGAAAAATTAAAATTTGTACAGAGAATAGAAAGGAGCATACAAATAACTTAACTACCACATACAAGGACTTTGTGGCCTATCTATTGTATAAATTCAATTATTATATTATATAAAAATATTTAAATAAATAATATATTACTTTTACCTAATTTAGTTTCTATTCCTCTTAGAAGATCATTTGTTTTGAACATAAGCAGCATTTCTCGAGGTACTTTACCTAACAATTTTGCAATCTCTGGCATTAATGCAGCAGCATGATGACGTACTTCATTGCTCTGAAAAAATACAATTTGATATTTTATGTTAATAAACCTATAAAAATTCTATAAATTATTATTTTATATAATGTTATTAAGTAAAACTTATGCAGACAAATATTCTCAAGTAAAGATCAGTTAATATAATAAAATGATTTCAATTGATATGTCATTTTCTTAATAATAAATGTTGAAAGCATAATGTGAATGTATGCCACCATAACAATTTTGTTGGTAAGCTATACTAGTTTATGCATTGGTATTTTCCATTACAAAATGCTTTATTATAACCTTACAAACTGCAAGAGATAGATAGCCAAGCAGTTAGGGTGGCAGTCTACCATTCTGAGGACCAAGGATTGAATCCAGATGGATCAAAAAACTCCAAAAATTTTTTGGGGTGGACCATTCAGACATGTCAGACTTGTCCTTCACCACCCAGATGTCCCATTATGGGTCTGGCCAAACCCATAATGGACTTGCTAAAACAAACTCTAAGTGCCCAGGAGATGGAAGGAATTAAAAAAAAAAAAGGGCCTCATAAACAGTCATAACATTATAAGCATAAGTAGAATCTACCATTATAACTTTGTGTTATAAAATAATGGTAAGGAAGCACTTTTAAGCTGTCTTTATTATTTTATCAGCCGCAATCATACAATCGTTATCAGCATTTTAAACAATCATTTTGATCATTATTTGCTCACAGTACAATATTTTTCATTGTTGTCATTTCTTATTTCAATTATGTTCACTGTTGTTAAAGACATAACTAAAAAACAGCAAGTAAATGACACTGTATAAATAAATAAATAATCAAGGTATGCAGTTTTTAATTATTTTAGCATGTCCTTTTAATACTAGAGTCAAGAAAACCAAAATTCCATTAATTATAGTTTTATTTATTTACCCTACATATTTCTAGCATTGCATGTGTAATATTTGTGAAATCGTGAAAATATAATCATTTCACAGTGTGTTTGTGAGTATAAGACATTGTAGTAGTCCTTTACCAATTAGCAGATGGCATGATGTTGATTTGACCTTATTTTATAGAGCCATTGGCATCATGTGTTGCCACATGATTTCTTAAGCTCACATCTTTAATTTGCATACACACTGTATTGCTATGCATATATGAGCATGTTCTTATAGATGGGACAAAGTCTACACTATATTCAGCAAAGTATCTAAAAAATACACTACTTTTAAAAACTTTTATAGTATTGAAAGAATTTTAATTTGACTTTTAATTTTTCAAAATGATTACCACACAAATATCACCAAATAGTTACTGTATTGGTTCATGTATATTTAATTTACACCGACTGAAAGTACAGTGCTTTTTTCAGTTAAAATAAACTGCCACACATAAGAACATTCTCTTATAAGTGAAGCAGGATGTGTGCAGAAATCAGGGCTGTGGAGTCGCGTAAAAATCTACCGACTCCAACTCCGACTCTTCCTTACCATCCGACTCCGACTCCGTTTCATATACATAACAAGTTGGTAAGTAAAAAGGGAATTGGAGTCGGCGGATTTTTTGACAACTCCGACTCCGGCCAAAACACCAAAATTCCATGACTCTGACTCCACAGCCCTGGCAGAAATATAGTGTGTTTGTATACATATACACTGTATTTCTGCACAAATAACAGCATGCTCTTATGTGAAAATCATTTGTTTTTGTGCTATTTGAAAAATACTTCCTGCTTTGCTTATATATATGATTTTTAACACTATATAACTAGTTATATATATAGTGTTAAAAAGTTAAAAGTAAAGTAAAAGTAATGTTAAAGACCAATACCTCTTCCATTGTCTTCTGTTTCCGATTAATTCCCTCTTGTATTGCTTTCCATGACCGTGCAGTCATGATACAAGCCAGAAGACCATATTCTTCAACACCTAAAGCTTTTGCCCAGTGTTTAATTCCTTCAACATCAGCAGATAGGAGACTCATCCATAGATTTGAATACTGTAGACGGAACTGGTCTGATAATTTCTGTGAATTTAATTATTATTAGTTTCAAATTAATAATGTTTTGGAAATAGTATTTTAGAAACTTACAGAATATAGCCCATGATCTAGAAGTATGATATCAACATCTTTAGATTTCTTTTGAACAAGAATGTTGCCAGGATGAGGATCACAGTGTACATAACCTTTCACAAATATCATTTCACTATATAATTCTCCAAGTTGTTGAAATATCTTAATTCATAATAAAAAGCAAAAAATAATAACAATTAATTAAAGCAATATACCACAAATGCTTTCAAATAAATATATAAGTGATCAAAAAACAGTAATACATTGGAACCATTTTTTTCTGATGTGGTCTAAACATAAATGCTTACACAATATTAACTTTGAGTTTAATTACAGAATATTATATGAAAATATACTGAATTTATTATAAAGCAAGTAAAAGAATGAGATAGTGTAATGAATGATGTAGTTTTCAACTAAATTTAAAAGAACTGGTAAGAAGTCCTGTGGAATAGTGAACCAAAGACATTATACACTCTACTTAGCTATTAAAAGACAAATTAAAAAAAGGATGTGTGGCAAATTATATAATAATAAATTTAATACACCTTTTTAATTACATGATACATTTTACTAAATGATACAGTTAAAGTACAAGGTACATTCTGTTTTAATTAAAAATTATATCATACATAAGGGTGTATTTTTACATTATACATTGTCAAATGTATAATGTAAACATTATAATGGCGCAAAAATCTACGTTGTCAGTGTTGCCACTTTGCTATGTGTGCTATCGCTCGGCGGCAAGAGCGATGTTGCCGTTCAATGCGGCACATGCTACATCCCCTCTCTACACCGCACCGCCTGCCCTTTCACCTCTGCTGATCTAATCGCCAGTTGACTTTCCACTCTTGCTAAATAAAGTGTCCTTGTGCTAAATAAAATAAATAACTATTCTCTTAGTCCTGGTGCATAATTCTAATTTATGGTCGGTTGTGACGTCAATGAATCACGTGACGGAATGATCGCAGTTTAAGCCTATGGGGAGCTGCAGCCTCATGGCTTGTCCACGAAAGCTAACCTATCCCTCTGGGTGATGATCATCACTAGCTAATAGAAAACCTTTTATTTCAACTCAATCAATATTTTACCAGAGACAAAAAATAAGAAAGTTTTCATACTTTTTTTCCGGCAATTGTGCAATGACAGGGAGTTGCGTCACACTCTCTGTTAAGCCTATCACATGTTTAACAGGCAGTCTGGAAGATATTGATGCCGACATGCTCGCTATCGCTCGCAGTCGGCTAGTACTACACCTTTAAGGAATGGGAAGCCCATCAAAATATAAATACCATTGTTGCCACTGACAAATAAAAACCACGAACACCATGACCAACTTTCGTTGACTCAAAAAACATCACGGCCCACTTCTCTCTCCACTCTGAGACCTACACTTGACAACAGAATATGACTTTTAAAAAATCACCAATCAAAGATGATATGTTTTTGCAAAAATATGTAAAAGAAACAAAGGACAAAGAATTGAGTTTGATTCTTGACTGCCGCACTAGGTGGAACAGTCTCCTCAGCATGGTGGAACATTTCTACAGTGTAAAAGTTTGCATCGATAAACCTTTAATAGACACTGGCTCAGACACTAAATTCTTTGCTGACGAGTGGTCACTAATCAACAGCTAACTACTAGACTACTACTAATTACTTACTCACTACTTTACTAACACTAATAATTAAATTACTTATAAATAACTACAGATTGATATGTAGAGCCTATATAAGAAAACTGGTAAGACAGATAGCCACTTCGCCACTGATTATCTGTCCTTACATTATTATAATATAATATATTAATATAAATTAATTAGTAGAATTACCTTTGCTATTATTTAACTTAAAGATTACATTATAATTATAATCTAACTAAACATTCAAAGTTAATTATCTCTATCTTAAGTGTTAAACCGAACCAAAGACAACTTTACTACCTAAATGTGTAAGAAGTTTTACTGATTTATAGTGACCAGTCTAAATAATAAAAGTTTCTTAACTATTTAAAAAAAATGTTTTATTTCTTTAAAAAAAAAACCCATAAATTTCTGGATAGATAGATAGATAACACCTTATTGCACCAAAAATACATTGACGCTGGATCCAGCTGGAATGATGTTGGTCCAGCAAAAATCCAGCTGGATTAAAAACACTGCTGGATTGCAATCCCTAGTTGGCTTATCTTTATCCATAACATCTCAATCTTAATTAAGATTCAGACTTGAATCTCTCTCATCAACATGACAATATCTTAGAATGCAAAAATAAAGATTGCTCATCCTTTTATCTCTTATGTTTACAGCATTTTCTCTAATTTTATATTAAAACAAAAATGTTACAAAGTGTTACTTACACATTGATAAGGAGGATCAACACACAAATAACCTCTATCAATTTTATATTTAACTAGCTGTTACCCGCAACTTTGCCCGCATGGATTCTGCAAGCAAACCCCATTTATATTCAGTATTTAAACAACCATAGTAATTGTTATTTAACACCTACCGCTTAGAATAATGAGAATTGATCAATTTTCTGGAACATTTACAATCATTCTATAATCGAACCAACATGCAATAACAAATTCAAATTTAAAAGGATTCGAACATTTTGTTAAAAAATCGAAATATATAAAAATATTTATAACAATGTCTGAAATGTTATCAATTAAATTAAAACATGTTATCAATTTAATACACCTAAGTACTCAATGAAGACTAAACGTAGTTGAAAACAAAAATCGCATCTAAAATAATACAGTAGAAACCATTCTTCAGGTTACGCCTTAATCCTCTCCCTCTCCCCCTGGCGGGGGAATTTTGAAAAATCCCTTCTTAGTGTGCGTTTTCATGACATACCCTAACTGTGTACAAAATTTCACCTCTTTAGGTTCAGTGGTTTGCTCTGGGCGATGATGAATCAATCAGTCAATCACTTGGTCAATCACTCAGTCAGTCAGTCAGTCAGGACAAGTAATTTTATATATTTAGATTTTTGATACAGAATTATTCTCTCTAAAATAATTATATAATGCTCATTAAAATTAAAATATTTAATATTTTTTTATATACCTGAGTAGATGAAATATGATTTTCCTTTAAATAATTTTTATCATTAACTTGACCTCCTTCACAATATTCCATAGTTAATACTCTAGGTGATGAAAATTCCCAAAAGACTTGTGGAACCTAGTAATCAAGACAAATACTAAAATTAAAATTTGATAAATATAAAGAATCTTCCAGAAAAGAATTATACCATTTTACATTACTGTAATTATGTTAATTATTATCCAAGAGCATTATAATGTACAGTACATTGTAACATTGGAAAACTGTCCAAGTTTCACATTTGATCATTACAATTTCTCAACATGTGCATCTCATTTCAGAGCACACATCTGACCGATACTGAAATTCTTCTTATATTCATTACAGCATATATCTTGTTATTCCTCCCATGACAACCATAATTCTATGGCTTCAACAGATTATTCATTTTGCACAATGACGAGTGATTCCAACTTTTTGAATTGAAAACACAAAACACCTTCTCTATTGCAATCAGATTTTCCTTTATGGCACTTCCTAAATGACAAGACATTTGAATGCAGATGAGAGATGAAACTCAGTTACTCTATTGACTGATGTATGTTGCATACTTCTTGGATAATTATTAACATAATTATGGTAATTTAAAATACTAACATTCAGTCTGGAAGATCCTATATATATTTATGTTATGCTGAATTTGTATTTTTAATTCTTTGTTCTAGAACTCAATGGCTAAAAACATGACAGAACAAATTTTTTTCTAAATTTCTATAAGATTTTTCTTGCAAACTGTCTTTATCTGTCAAATGTTCACTTTTATTTAATCACCTTAGCCACAAGGCCTTCAGTTAGATATGTGAATTATCTCTACTGGATCAATAGAAGTTTCAGAAAAAAGTGTGATGAAAATATCTTAATTTTTATTATAAGAAAATAAAATATTAAAATATTTGTTAAAAGCTGTAATATCATGAATCTGTCATAAAAGTTAGGTAGCTTGCCATATTGTGGTGAATCNAAAGTTAATTATCTCTATCTTAAGTGTTAAACCGAACCAAAGACAACTTTACTACCTAAATGTGTAAGAAGTTTTACTGATTTATAGTGACCAGTCTAAATAATAAAAGTTTCTTAACTATTTAAAAAAAATGTTTTATTTCTTTAAAAAAAAAACCCATAAATTTCTGGATAGATAGATAGATAACACCTTATTGCACCAAAAATACATTGACGCTGGATCCAGCTGGAATGATGTTGGTCCAGCAAAAATCCAGCTGGATTAAAAACACTGCTGGATTGCAATCCCTAGTTGGCTTATCTTTATCCATAACATCTCAATCTTAATTAAGATTCAGACTTGAATCTCTCTCATCAACATGACAATATCTTAGAATGCAAAAATAAAGATTGCTCATCCTTTTATCTCTTATGTTTACAGCATTTTCTCTAATTTTATATTAAAACAAAAATGTTACAAAGTGTTACTTACACATTGATAAGGAGGATCAACACACAAATAACCTCTATCAATTTTATATTTAACTAGCTGTTACCCGCAACTTTGCCCGCATGGATTCTGCAAGCAAACCCCATTTATATTCAGTATTTAAACAACCATAGTAATTGTTATTTAACACCTACCGCTTAGAATAATGAGAATTGATCAATTTTCTGGAACATTTACAATCATTCTATAATCGAACCAACATGCAATAACAAATTCAAATTTAAAAGGATTCGAACATTTTGTTAAAAAATCGAAATATATAAAAATATTTATAACAATGTCTGAAATGTTATCAATTAAATTAAAACATGTTATCAATTTAATACACCTAAGTACTCAATGAAGACTAAACGTAGTTGAAAACAAAAATCGCATCTAAAATAATACAGTAGAAACCATTCTTCAGGTTACGCCTTAATCCTCTCCCTCTCCCCCTGGCGGGGGAATTTTGAAAAATCCCTTCTTAGTGTGCGTTTTCATGACATACCCTAACTGTGTACAAAATTTCACCTCTTTAGGTTCAGTGGTTTGCTCTGGGCGATGATGAATCAATCAGTCAATCACTTGGTCAATCACTCAGTCAGTCAGTCAGACAGGACAAGTAATTTTATATATTTAGATTTTTGATACAGAATTATTCTCTCTAAAATAATTATATAATGCTCATTAAAATTAAAATATTTAATATTTTTTTATATACCTGAGTAGATGAAATATGATTTTCCTTTAAATAATTTTTATCATTAACTTGACCTCCTTCACAATATTCCATAGTTAATACTCTAGGTGATGAAAATTCCCAAAAGACTTGTGGAACCTAGTAATCAAGACAAATACTAAAATTAAAATTTGATAAATATAAAGAATCTTCCAGAAAAGAATTATACCATTTTACATTACTGTAATTATGTTAATTATTATCCAAGAGCATTATAATGTACAGTACATTGTAACATTGGAAAACTGTCCAAGTTTCACATTTGATCATTACAATTTCTCAACATGTGCATCTCATTTCAGAGCACACATCTGACCGATACTGAAATTCTTCTTATATTCATTACAGCATATATCTTGTTATTCCTCCCATGACAACCATAATTCTATGGCTTCAACAGATTATTCATTTTGCACAATGACGAGTGATTCCAACTTTTTGAATTGAAAACACAAAACACCTTCTCTATTGCAATCAGATTTTCCTTTATGGCACTTCCTAAATGACAAGACATTTGAATGCAGATGAGAGATGNGAATTAAAATATATATATATAAAACAACACTAATTTTTTTTTAATCTTTTCTAAGTTATTTTTAAGTTATTGTTACATTATGTAATGTAAGTTAAGTTTTAGTATCATTTCCCTCTCTTCCGCCACCAGTTTACACCTCCACCGTCATCTATCCTCAAAGGTAAAGTGCAAATAAAAATACATTTTTTTAAATCAATTATTATTCTGTTATGGTTATTTATACATTTACAACTACAAAATGCATTTTTCAGTGTTTTCCTTACTATAGTTATTTTTTTTTAATGTACTACTTAGCTTTAATTTGAGTGTGTTTTTCGTGTTGGAACGAATTATTTGGTTTTATATGTAATTGTTTCAGGAAAAAAGATTCACCTTACGACATTTTCATAATACGATCTCAGTTTCAGAATGGATTAATTTTGTATCCTGAGGTACCACTGTATGTATAAAATAATATAACCAAAAAGTTTAATTTAAACTTACCTTGAGCCAAGGGAACTTAATTATCCTTTTAATGTGTTCAGCATTCTTTCCTTCATGTAAAAAATCCAATTCTAAAGGCAGATTATGTTGCATTTCTTCGGCCAACCACATGAATGAGAATTCGGGAAACAACCATGCAATTGCATTAACTAAAAACTAGAAAAAAAAAAGCGTAATTCATACATTAATAATTATTTTATTTTATTTTAAAACATTATCATCAAATTATTTTTGAAAAATTTATTTTAATTATTTAAATCAATTTTAGAATTGAAATTTATGCATTTATGAAGTTCTCAACCTTATAGTAATGTTTAAAATAAAGTGCCTATAAAGGCCATCCCACATTTAAAAATTGATTATGCAAATACCATAATACATTAGGTGATGTTTCGTACATAACTCATATGATGACAACACATCCAGGTTTCACAATCTTGACAATAAAGTGACTTGATAAGCATGTTGTGTGTGATGCATTTGCAAATTGTATGGTTGCATTTGCAACCTTTTTTTTAACACCTTCCAAACTTATCTGGTGTGGCATTTCCAGATCACGAGAGATTTTGTCCAATAACTTCTTAGGTCTGTTGTATGTGAGGTATATCAATATATATTGATACACCTCACATACAGACTCAACACATTCATTGGTATACTGGATACTGAAGCCTAATCATCACTAGTCATTGTCTCACGTCTCTCAGAGACAGTGTCTATGTCACAAGCTGGTCACTGATTAGCTAATCATTTGTTTACACCTCAAGAGATCATCATGTCTATCCAAACGCAATTCTAGTAGACTTTTTCTCTCAGAAGATTCTCTCGTCTCTTATAGACAAGTGTACAGTCGTCTTTCATCCATATCCTCATTTCATTATATCCAATATGGATGACTAGATGCTACTCACCTTATACTGTGTTTTCGTGGAATGACTAGCATGCCAGTCTATCTGGGGAGATCACAAAATCAGATATTTCTGTATGGTAAAATCTGGCATGCTGGTTTATCCCAGGGGATGCTGGCATGCAGGTTTAAGTGAGATTATACATCCCTCTCTAGAGGGCACATTACAAAAAACTAACATTTTTATTCTAACTGTGAAACTGTCAGCTTTACATCAAAAACTACGATTATTCGTTTAATTTCTTCATTTTGTCTTCTTTCTTAAATACTTATAAAATTCTGAAAGTGTTTTTTTAACATGTATTTTATTTTATTTATTTGTCCAAACTGTATCTTCTTCTTTTTGTTACTTCTAACTTTTCTTGTTATTTTTGTTGTTACTTGATTCAAAAATGCAAAAAAATAAACATATTAAATTTGAGAAACTTGCTGTAAATTATCTCAACTTACACAGATTAACATCCCTTTTGTGTGAAATTCGAGAGGAAGGTGTTATTTTTAAGGTAGGAGTAGATGGTCAGTGTAGCCCACACTGAAATTACTTACTACTGCTACTACTACCACTACTACCACTGTCAATAAGTCATTAATTGTTTTGTTATCTTGTAAAAAAACTCTCTTCCTAATTTTAAATCAGTCAAATTACAATGTTATTATTTTATTGTACTCAGAAGAATGTTTTCTTTAACATTTAATTAACAAGTAGTTTTGTTAAATCTGATTAATTTTAGTTGCATTTTAACTGGCATACCAGTAACCCTGGGGTTTCCAGCATGCTTGTCATTCCACGAAAATAGAGAACACATATATTAGAGAACGTTCTCTATTTCAGAAAAGGATACTTTGAGATAGAGATATGCTTATGATTTTTTTTTAAAGTGCCTACTCAGGAATGCCATTAACTCCATCTCTTTTTTAATGATTCTACATCATTTACTGAACCATTGAATATGCTGTTAATCTTTTACTTCTAGCCATTTGTCTCTCTAAGTAGTTTTTGAAATATTACCATCTAATTTCTCCTTAACTAAGTATGCATGCTTTTCTAACTAAGATTATCAAAATTTTTAGCTGCCACATGATGGTAATATACATCACTTTCATGTGGCAGTTGTGGCCTTTTCAAGCATATGCACATTAAACTCTGAGTACTGACCAACATTCTTCAACACATTTTATTCACATTTCCATAAAATCCATTTGTTCAGTTGAGTTTAAAACTAAAGATGTTTGAGGGAATACCCTGTATTTCTTCAACACAAATAAAACTCATATTTGAAAGTGCAATAAGTTACAATATTCAATTTTATACCATAATTTCCATTCATAATATAAAAAATTTCTTCTATAAAATATTTCTTCTAATTTTTAATATAAAGATTTAAAAATTTAAGCCAGTTTGTTTCTTTAAGACTTATTATATCTTAATATAAATTTTATTACTATAAAATTTAATGTTTGATAATACCTACAGTCATGGAAACAATATCGACTTTTGAATGAGACATGACTTTCGGATGTTGAACTTTGACAGCAACTTGCTTTCCGTTATGCAAAACAGCACAGTGAACTTGAGCTAAAGATGCCGCACCAACAGGTTCTACTTCAAATTTCGAAAATATATCATTTGGCTATAAATATAAAAATAATTAGTAACTATATCAGTATATTAATTGAAAATAGTTTTTATAATCACCTCTTTTTTGAGATCCTCTTTGATAACCTGAAATACTTCTTCTATAGAAGATTTTGGAGCACGGCTATGAAGAACACTAAGAGTGGATGTATACTCTTCGGGCAATAAATAATCCATGGCACCAACATGCTGTCCAACTTTAATAAAAACACCACCATTTTTATTACATAAATCTAATAGAAGTTTTGCTGATCTTAAATGTATCTGTCGACAGAAAAATAAACAATTAGCTTCAATGTAAAATAATAATAATAAAAATAAACAAAAAATCTTTAATTTTTAAAATATATATTTCAAGTGACCTTTGACATGACATCATTGTATTCATTTGAATTTGACTGAATTCCAATACGAGAATATTTATAATCAAAGGCAATTCTTGACACCTATAGAAAATTATACACATATATATTAATTCCATTATTAGATAAATAAATCAAAATATTAAAAAAAAACTATAATCTATAATTTTGATAAATAATTAACAAAATATAAAATACAGGTATCCCTCGAACAACATGGCATTCCTACAATATGGTTTCGCTCTAACACAGTTCAAGAATTGGAGACATCACCATACAAACATCACAATTTGAAAATTCAAACACTGTCATTCGATGCTTTTCTATTCAAACAAGTATGTGTGTTGTCTCATGTTTGCCTATGGATTTTAGAATAGCGAAATTACATCAAGTTTTAGGAATTTTTAACTGGTTTAACTGATGTTTTGGTTTTATGTACTGTACATCAACAATAGTACATGCCATAGACAACATGTATCAGCCAACAGATAAGGGGCACCAGCTCGAAATGTGTATTGTCACTTGAAACAATTAGCTTAAAGACTGTAAAGTATGTAAGAATATAAGTGAATGTAAAAAAGTTCAGTGTCTAGTGTCAACACTTCTTGGTGTCTCAAAATATGAAGGAGGGCATGTTTCAACAGAGAATAAATTTTCAATGTTGTTTTGTGCCTTTTGCCTAGTTTTCATTAATGAGAACTGACTGTACAATTTTTCTTCTTCCTTGTCCTACATTCCTATTCTATAATAGCTTTCCTATAAACCAAGTGTCAATGTCATTGGTGATAGTGTTCTAAATGAACCCAAAACACTGTCACTGTGTTTTTATAGATCTCCTAGGAAAATGTAAGCAAATGAAAATATCAATTTTACAAAAAATATAAAGAAAAATCAAGATGTTGATGATACTTCAGATTAATGTCAATGGAAAACTCAGAAGATAACAATGTTTTGCCAAAAAGAAAATGTCTTTGTTTAACAATATTTAGCAGCGGAAGGAAAAATTCATATTATTGTGCAATACTTTTAATTGTAATTGTTAGTTTAGTAAGCATATTTCTCTTAATTACAGAAAAGTATACTTTTACTAACTTTTGGAATATAACCCTATGTTTTGTGCCAGTCCTTTGTATTGTATAGCATGGATTCACATAACATGGCACCTTTTTCAGAACCATGTTATACAGGGATATCTGTATAAACTTAAATTTAAATCAAAACAACATTAATTATATCAAGAAAATAGCATAAGAAACAACTTTAATCTAATAATTATAATTAAGTGATACATGTTTTCAACTATATTTAATCAGCCATTTTCAGATTTGAAGTAAAAACAAACAAAAAGAAAATATGTGGTTTAAAAATACAATGTCACATGCTTAAATTCAAACAAATAAATATTATAATGCAGTTTAGCCTATAAACAGAATGATCCAAAAGTCAGTTAACCAAGATACTTTTTTAATAATATCTTAAAAACAGTTAAAATTTATAGGATGTTTAAATTTGTCATTTGATTAAAATCTCTTGGAATGTGATGGTAACCATTAAAATTAATTAAAAACATTTATTTTCTATTAAATATCTTGTTGGTAAAGAGAATATTAATGAATTAGCAGAATAATCAATTTAATTTTTATGTTAGAATCAATATACTTACAGTAAAAGCTGCTCTCCCAAATCTCCTTAAGGCAACAGCTGACAAATTTAATTCATTTCTGTAATGAGCTATGCCAAATACACTACCTCCAACAGCTCCAGAAATTATACCTAATCTGATAGTAGTTCGAAGCATTTCTCATGATTTGTGTTTGACTACAGAAGGAAAAATTATCTACAAAAAAATTTAAAAAATTAATACTTTTTAATATAATTAATAATTATATAATTGTTCTCTGTCAAAATAGACTAGCAATATGACAGTTAACCAATATATTACAGTCGACCCCCCTATAAGATATAGATACGTTCCAATTTATTAGGAATCTGATTTCTTACAAGTCGTTCCAATCACAGCCCGACACGTGTCAAGTTTACGGAATACGGCTGATTGAAAGGTTTTCTTCCATAAAATTAATCGATTCTACACTAATCCGACTCAACATTTCCAAAATACGTATATTTTTTTGTAGTTTTATAGGAATCGTAATTATAGGGGGGTCAACTGTACTAATAATGATGTTAGTAACAAATTTTTGACATTATTATTAATATCTGATAATTGAAAGTTTATCCCCCACTTTCGATCAATCTTTACAGATGATTATCAATTTTTAAATATGGTGAGGCAGATAAGATATCAGCCTACCACTCAGGGGAACCCAGGATCAAATCTGGATAAGCAATCCGGGGAATTTTTCATAGGCAGTCCAGGTATTCAAGCCCATCCATCCCTTACTACCAGCCACCCTTGTGGACTAAGAGAGCCTTTTTTATGCCCCCTAAATGGGCATAAAAAAGACCTCTCTTAGTGTCCAAAAGGCAGAAAGTAGATAAAAAATCTGACAATTACATGCTTTTTACAAATCCTAAAATATATATGTATATGTGGTAACCCAGAAACCAGTTAGGAACAGTGTTGTCATTTGTGATTAAACCACTTCCTCCTATGAAAGGAGGACCAGATGTATCTGATTTCAGGGGACTGTCTCCAGTTTTGCCTGTTTTTATTAATTAATTTTAGAATCAATCTTTGAATAGTGTAATTTTATTAACATTCTGATATAATGTGACCAATTTGGAGATCAATATATAAATAAAATCTTTAAATATAACTGAAGTTTAATCAGTTTAGACCCCAATTTCATTGATTCTGAAATGTGTCCCTAGTTGGATTGTAAATGTTCTATAGTCAGCCTACCTATGAAGCAACTGAGTCATGAATAACAAGCAACAGTCCCAAAGTGACTTTAATCATTTTTAAAATATCCCAGTTAAATGACTTTTGGGCAGCCTGTACAAAATTTGTATTTAATAATGAACTGTTAAATACTTTTGTCCTATAAGGCGTGGCTAATGTAGCCATATAAACAAAGACATATGCAAAGATACAATTCTAACTAGTATCTTTATCCTACAAATGAAATAAAGATTAGAAGTTGTACTAGCACCCATATAAAAAGTTGAGGAAAATGTTTTCATGATACTATTATAATCTAGGTATATAGTTTTTTTAGAGCAAAGTATTGGTTAAAGTTTTCAACTAGCAATAAAGGTTGATTAAAACATCACTGGCTATGATATCATCTCTGTGCAATGCTAGTCTAAGATATGTTAATGATATGAAGAAAAACAAATACTGTATTAGTCAATTTGGTCGTCACCACCAAATAATTTGTACAAGGATGCATTAATGTCTGCAAAGTTTCGTTAAATGTATAATCTGGTAATGCTGTATTGGGCAGGTTAGTAACATGTGTTAGATCAATGGTTGCCAAAGTGGGATGGACACACCTCTAGGGATATGTAAAAAATTTTCAGGAATTCACAAGAAAATCTGCAACCAGTCAATATTGTTTTTAAGCCTATTATCTTAAAATAATAATAAACAGAATGATTAAATAATCTTCAACACTGTATGATATGCTAATTTTATTTTAAAACTATAGCTCTAAGGGGTGCATGCAGTAAAAAAAGTTTGCTGACCACTGTGTTAAACAGCAATTGAGATGTTCTGTATTTATTCCTTATATACCAGTTTCCTCTTTTTATTTAATTAACTTTTTCTATACTATAAACACTAAAAAGATTTTATTATGTCAATCACAAGTTCAACAAAGCCTGTAGTGAGACAAAATGATAAAAGATGGGACCAATGATCCCTCTAAGCCAGAGAAATAAATGTGTAGACCAGCCTAACTGCTGTTCAGAAGAGATCATGACTTGCACAACTGATGCTCATACAGCCAAATATAAAAGTAGGTGGTGACTACACAGCTTGTAAGGAATATCAATAAAAAGAAAGTGTGTTATTTATTATAATTTACTATTTAAAAATTATTAATATTTGCTATTAAAAATCAATGCACAATTATTAAAAATTACTGCATATCTTAGAGTGGTATTTCCCAAAGTTTTCATACACTACCCTCTTTTAGTGCATACATTTCTGTATAGAGCACTAAACGACTATTCCTATTCCTATATATATAGGAATAGGAATATATATATTTTGTTTCTTCAAAATAAGTTTTGGTCCCTCTGTCTTCTAACACCCTTTAAGTCTTCTATAATCCTCAATAAAGCAGTAGCATCCACTTTGGGAATCATCTTAGAGAAGGAGGATGGATGTGATGTATCAAACTAGTAATGAAAATCTTTGTTTTGACCTGCATTCAAACCTGGGCCTCAAGAGTTATATGCTAATGCCTTTATCATCTCAGTTATTCAATTTCAAATAGATTTCACTTTTAAAACCTAATCAGCTTTTGAAAAACTTGTAAAATGAGACATAAAATTTCCCATAAAAACCCTTATAAACTAAGATTACATTACACTTTAATTATGTAATACTACATGTGCATTTAAATACAGCATTTCATACATTCATAATTGCAAAATTTTATACCTATGTGCAAAAGCAAAGCTTATAAAACAAGTTTTAAAAACTTGGCTTACTATAATACTATTGATATATAAAAATTTACTGTATTCTACTTTAATATACTAGACTTTAATGTAATGATAGAGTCTATTACATAATTTTTTTTAAAATGAATGTATTCCAGAAGTATTAATAAATGTTAAACTACAAAATATCATACAGATGTTTGATAAATGTATTTACTTCACTTGTTGAGCTGATGAACTTATGCAAACAGATTATAAGTCCTATATCAGTCCATGGAAGCTGTGGAAGTGCAGCTTTCCTTGTATTTTCTAAAATATAAATACATATTGTCCAATTATTTTCATATTTTAATGTACTTTGAATTACTTAAAATTAATATTTTATTATAACCATATTATGTATTTTATTACAAATTTCTATACATGTGAAAAACAATGATAAGATTGCTATTGTATATTCGAATATAAATTTGTATATGCATATTCTCAATGGAAAAGCTGTATTGTTGAATACAAGATAGCTTCCACGACAAAAATATAAAAATATTTGAATCGTGTAAAGCAGCCAGATTATACGCATTCATACATGTGCTTCACAGAGCACTAACCTCATGCAGTTTAGCTCACGGATGCTACACATCAAAATATCGTATAATGCTTCCAGTGATTCTATCCAGGGCCGGCACAGCTTCCCTATCATCAAATGTCATCGCACGCCACTGATATATACACTAGTACAACTATTCTCATAATTACTTCTCTATGGTTTATTTGATTTGATGACATAGTATATACCAATGCAGAACATGGTTAGTTTATGCAATGGTGCCTCTTATTACCAAAGCTTCAAACTGTCCATTTTAGACATAGCTAAATTCTTCATATAATTTCAGAGAAGGAAATGAAATCTAACTTCTAATATATTGGAAAAAATGCATTTCAACTAAATCAGCTCTCCAATAAAGTAGGAATTCACATAAACAAACATCACAAAACCCGATATATTTGTAAAGCCAAAGAACCACAGGATTACATCAGGCTACTTTTTCGCAATTATATTTAATTAATTACTAAATAATTTGTCACTAGATGGAGGTATTAGGTGTCATCTCTTATTAAACAAGTACTTTTCAGTCTCCCAGTCACTATCACTAAAGCTTACTTGACGAATAATTACAAATCTTGGCATTGTTTAACAAGTAAGAAACTATGATAAGTGAGAAGGCTCAACAATACAGGTTCCATCAGGAAAACAAGCAATTACAAATAGACAATTATTAACTTTTTAATATTTATTAACAAGTAACATGTTCAAACAATATAATTTGCCATTTTTATGTTTCAAAGACAACATCACTCGAGTGACCTTCATTCGTGTGTAGACATTCTTCACGTCTTTGAAATATGTCACGCATAGAGCAGTGCAACAAATTTTTAGGTAGTTATTGATTGCACGACAAATTTTTGCCTTAAGAATTTCAATATTTTGCAGACAATCTTTATATACCAAACTCTTCGTCCACAAAATATTGAAACTCTTAAGGCAGAATCAATACCCAAGACTATGTCATTTATATACGCGCACGATACTTCAAAGATGCTAAGAATGTCTGTGCACGAATGAAGGTCACTCAAGCAATATCATTATCAAAACATAAATAGATCTGCAAAATCCTACTTAACATATAATAACTCATATCTTGAGGCATAGTGAGAGAATATTAATCAAATCTATCTTAAAATAATTTTAAAACCTTTAATATACCTTAATTAGCATGCTTAATGGACACTTTATGTGGTCAAGTTTAATTTGTACAATAACATAACCTTCATCCAAGTAGAAGTTACCTTTAGGCCATTGATTATATGTACACATGTACTGTGTACATGTAATCAGGGTTTTGTGTACACGTGTACTGTACGAACACGTGTACACAAAACCCTGAAAGTAACTTGTATTCAATTTTCTTATGCCTTGATAACAGAGTAAACACAAGCAAAAGATTAAATTAATATATTTAAAATTATTCTTTAAGTTATAATATATAAATAAATAACAAAACAACCTTCCTAAAGTTCAAATTTACTTCTCTCTACTTCCTCTTCCTGTAAAAAAAATTAACCCTGCTGACGTATATTTTCGTATTTTTAATTATAAAATTTATTATACGAGTATTTATAATTAAATTCGTCAATAAAATATTACTTTTGTTGCTTTTTATTTTTTACTCATAAATTAATCATTTTCATTTTTAAATAAACTAATTAAAACCGAGATTACAATCACGTGACTGTTCTTTTTCTTGATTGGTGGTTTCTGAAATTTAAAATTTACGTCATCAGTTGTTGTTGTTGTTTGTGATGTCGACATGTAAGTAAAGACGGATTTTATAGGGATTTATGACAAGGTGAGATTTATTTATCCTTATTTAAAATTTAGATAATGATTTTTTTTATATAATGTTTTATCTGCAAGCGCAATTAAATTAATTTAGCGTGTTTTTGAATAAAGAAAGTGTAATTGCAATGTTGTCGGATTGCAACACGCCGCGACGCGAAGTGACGCGTCGCGATGCCTCCGCGCCGCGTTTCTTCGATGGTACATAGTTTACGATATGGACCATCTACTAGTTTTCATACTTCCATTAAATATTTAAACGGATTTTAATTAAAAATCAAACTAAAGTTCTTAATCTCCTTCAATTATCTTCATTTTTGGCTCTTTTTTGGATCTTTTTCTATGAGTTCAGCCAGGCCCACAAGGGGCCTGACATATCCAGGACAAACCGCCTATGGGAAATTCCTGAGGTTGCTCGCCAAGTTTTTACCCTGAATTCCCCAGAGAAATAGGGTGTCGCGTTAATTGTCTCGTCCATTCTGCCGTCAATAAATCTTCAACATTTATTCTGCGTTAACGTTGACAATATTTATACATTCAACATTATCAAAATTGACTATAGTAGAAACTAATTTGTTTTATGATAAGTCACGCGCACACACCCACACACGACATTGTAAGAATTATGGAACTGACACAGAACCGAGTTCATATTTTACAGGGTCCATTACAAAATATAAATGTGCCCCTTTTCAAACATTAGCCGAACACGAGGCGAATGCATCAGCTTGGCACTCTGAGGAATCGGAGAGCCTGGTTGTGAGCCTGGCCGAATCCATGATGGGCCTGAAAAAATCTTCTTGGTGCCCACGGGACAGAGAGAATCCAAAAAACAAAATATCTTTTGTTTATATGGATGGATATTCTATATGTTGTAAATCAAGAAAATGTTTTTATATTTTATCGTGAATTTAGAAAATAAAAATCATAGAAGTCATTTACGTGCCAGTTTTATCATTAAACTATCGTAAAATAAAAGAAAATGTCTTTATTTTCCTCATAATAATTTCCTATTGTATTTTCATCAAAGAATATGTCTTGCTGAAGCTATTGTTTCTATAGAGATTATCAGTTATCGTCTAATGATCATATTTTTTTTTTTTTTCAATTATTGGCAGAGTCTTTGTTGGGCATGGGCGACTTTGTTTATTAGGTAACGTGATACGTGGGCAATCAGCGGAGAGAAGTTTCATAGAAAACCACGAAAACTCTGTCTATCCATTCGTCTTTAACATTACATTAAGAACAATCTATTTTACAAAAATAGCGTACTATAGCAACGACGTACATTAATTTTAAGAAGTGGTGTAATTCGAATTTAAATTAGCATAAGGTCGATTATAATACAATCAGTCGCATATATAAGAGAATTGTTCTCGTTGCATAACGTCTAAAGGTTAGAAATCCTAGAGTAAAATACAGTCGACCCTTTATAACACTGTTGATAATTCCGTTTTATATGAATTCCATGTTGTACGAGTCACTTAGATTTTACAAATACGTGAGCCGTTCACAGCCCAGCACACGTATTTATAGGGGGAAGCTCTCTTATTGCCCACAGAACGGAAAGAGTAAAAATCTCGGGCTTTCCACTGTCCACTTATAGTGGATGTTCCAAAGTACTGGGCTTCATCGCTCATCACCTTATCGTGCATATGGCCAAACCGCATAGCGGGTATTGTTTGGTTTGATAGGGTATGGCTTCGCAACACAAGCGCGATCTGCTAAAGGAGGCTTCTCAGAGGAAACTGGCCCTATTTAGTTGGGTAGTCAAGTGAAAAAAATCTGAAAAACTCCACGTGATCAATCCATTGGTCAGAAGCGAATATATGACAAACCACCAGTGTTTAGTGTATCTTATCTATTCGGCCACCGATGGGCTCTGATGAGTATGGAAAAAAGATCCTCTTGGTGCGCATAGAGCAGAGAAATTTAACAAATAAAGAATTCCATTAGTATCTATAAATATTTTCATATTTATTTAATGTATTTAAACAGAACCTGCTTAGTAAGCAAATTTCAAATTCTTGTTTTAGTCACACATACTCTCATTTTAAATTATTTGAAAAGTCCGCGATTGGAATTTAGTCTCAGTTACATATTTTTATTATTAAAAATTTCCTTGTTGCAACGACCGTTTTTATTCTTGTAATACATCCCAGATTTTAATGTTATTCTTCCGCATTACGTGATTCAACTTCCATGATTATTTAACATTATACTTCATACAGTAACAAAAAAATGTATATAAATGTGAATAGCTTCTTATATTTAAGTCGTTAATTTGTCTTATTTTATCACACATATATTTATTATCGCAAAATACGACGCAAAATAAAGCGTCATACGCAACGTATTTTATCATGGCGGCACACAATAGATGTAAACTGGTGGTAGCATTTTATTTCCACTTCACAAATAAACGCTTAAAACTTACATAATTAATTTTACATATAAAATATTTCCCTACAAACTGAAATACCCAGCACTAGAAGGTTTTTTTATACTATCCTTGACCTCTTAACAGTACTCTGGTTATCTGTTCATTCGATAAAGAGCACTAGCATTAAATACGTGTTTATTTAATGAAGTACATACATTTAGATCGATGAATCTTTGTATTTGAATTTATTGATTCATAAAATTAGATATTTTACAGTATTATCAATCGATTTACAACTCTTAACGAAGTCTACAAACTACCACTACCGTTAAACTATCGATCGTTAAATGACGTCAGCGGTTAATGGCCTTTGAACGTCGGCATTGACGTCATCTAACAGTGATGGTAACGGTTGATTCGTTCCAACCTCTTCAGCCAATAGTATTAAATTTTTCTGTTGTTTGAAAATGGAGGACAATGCAACAAAGAGAATCCGCAAGCCTAATTTTTCTCATTTAGAAATTGAAAGGCTGGTAAGTTGCGTCGAGGAGCGGCCATATTTAAATAATATCGAGTTAGGAAAGGTTTTTAAAACGACTCACGAAGTCAGAAATGCTTGGGAAGAAGTGGCCAAAGAAGTTAGCAGTTGTTCTTTTATTGGTCTTGTAAGAAGCGGTAGAGAAGTGCGTGATAAATGGCAGGATTTAAAATGCCGCATTAAGAAGAAAGCTTTAAATATTCATAAATTAGCCAGAAATTCGGAAGGAAAATATCCTATTCCTGAATTACTTCCCATCGATAAAAGGGTTTTGAAGTTTATTAACTGTAATAACAATATTGAAGTCGAGTGTACTGTTGAAACGATACAAGAGGTTAGTGCAATTTTATTGTATTATATGTAATTAAATAATCTTTTTAAGTTGTGCTCTTTTTATTCTTTTTGTTAACTCTTCTCAATCTGTAGGTACTGATGTCCTTTTAAAGGATTTAAAGGCCCTGTATGCAGGGTCCACCACCAGTAACCAAGTGGTTCTGTTCCCTGAACACTGGGAATTCAGTTGTGAGTTTGTGCCTCACCAGGACAGGATGGTCATGTGGAGTTTTCCAGGTTTTCTCCATATCTGTAACATCTGAATAGGGGCCTTAAAAAGACCACCCAGAAGGCATCTTCTAGGCAGATACGCCTAAGTGTTGTGTTGCCATAATTTAATAAACAAACCTGTATGCAGATGAGTAGTGAGGGATGGAGTTTGAAATATATCCAAAATGGCCACCCTCTAAAAAATTTATAGGTTTTTTTATTATTTGTTTGGATTTAATCCTGGATCCTCCAAAGCAATTGATTGCCACCTTAACCACTCGATCATCCATCATTTAACTTTTGCTATTATCAATCATCTGACTTTTTCAAGCGAAGTAGCCTTGTTACTGCTTTTACCACCTCTCTGCATCTTATTTTTTTACTCTTATATCTTTACTCTCTGTGGAAGGAAGAGATAAGGAGCTTCCTGCATCCTTCCTTATCTTTCCTTTCCATCTTCTTTTTGGCTTTTGTTATAAACTTACTTACTAATGAACATTTCTATCTTAAAAATTTTAAAAATTTAAATTTTCAGGAACCATATGAAGGAATATTGGAAAATACAGATAATGCCATTGATGTTAATTCTACCATAGTTTATTGTCAAGATTCTAATTCAGAGAATACTCTTTTAACAGAAACTCCATTTTATCATGTAAATAAACAAATTGAAGCTTATACCAGTAAGTTATTTTTTTTTCGTATAATTTTATTTATTTAATTTATAAAAATCCATTAAACATGATTAAAATCAAACATTTATCTTTTAGCTTCCAGGGATAAGAGGATAAAAAGGAAATACCAACACAGATGGGAAGTTCTAGAAGAAAAATTAGAAAAAATTTTAACTACGAATGATGATATCAAATGTAGTTTAAAGGGTATAAATGAGTCGTTAAAAAAGCTTGTAGAAATTCAAGAAAAAAGATTAGAATTTGAAATGAATACAAAAATTAAATAAATTTTATTTTCTAGTGTTGAATGGTAAATAATTTAAAAATTTACACACAATAATTTTTAAATTATGTAAGAATATTTTCATTATAACTATTCTTATGTAATCATTTCCATCAACAAGCTATTAAGGCAGAGGTGAGGAAAGTTTTTAATTAGAAGGTTGCACCCTATTTCTGAAAACTCTCATTAGTATATTCATTCAATATAATAACATACACATACAAAAAATGTACATTTAGATAGATACCTTTATTAAAAAAAAAAGGTAATAAACATACTTTATAATACAAAATTCATAACAGAAAAAATAAACTTTTACCATTTTACATTTTATCAAACTGCAGTAAAAACTACAAAGACTTGCATGCAGCCTGAAGGCAGTAGGTTATCTACTCATGAATTAAGGAGCAAATTTATTGTTTGTTATAAAGAATGACAAACAGCATTCTTGCTTGTTTTATTTACACTTTCAAATAGTAAAAAATATTTCATTTTTACTAAATTATCATACTAGGATTAAGTAAACAAACAAAGTATAAAATGCCCACCAGTAGCCAAGTGGATAAAACTACTAAATACTGGTAGTTGGTCCCAAGTTTATGCCTAGTCTATGCACTGGCTGCGTGGAGTTTTCCAGGTATTTTTTACACATAAGGACTTGTAGCTATGGGGGCTGTGAGGTGACTAAGTTCCCTCAGTTTAGTAGTGCCCATATACAGTATATATAATTCATGCTTTTGCTTTCATCACATACACTTAAGCTACTGTTATTTATTTTACACGTAAACTGTAGCTAATAAACCTGTGCTGGCTGAAAAAAAGAATACCGATCATAATTTTTCAATTTGCCTCTCTAGTCACAATGATTTATTCTTGGGTATGAAATCTAATACTACAGTTGGTGCCATTTTTCCATAGAAAGTCCTTTCCTTAGCAGATCATCTTTGTGTTGTGTTCAGTGCCGTATCTAGGCAGGTGCAACAGGTGCACCTGCACAGGGCCCACTTAGAAGGGGGCCCAAAATGCATGAAATTGTTTTATTATTTTTCCAAACTTAATTAATTAAGGGTCCTAAATGCAAATTCTTGCACAGGGCACAGGAATGGCTAGTTACGGCACTGGTTGTGTTGTCTTATCGCATCAAAACAGTCAAAGTAGAAATTGTAGTGCATAAAGTCTATAAACCAAAGGTCCATCCAAAGAAGAAAAATATATTTAAACTCATTTTTCAGTAATATATCAAATATTCTAAACAATTAAGTTACTAAAATACTGACCCTTTCAAATTACATACTAAAATACATTCACCCTATCAAAAAACAAATCTGTTAACACGTTACTAGTTTAATTTAACTATACTTGAAATATTTATATGCAATATTAACTATACAAGACAATCTTTAACTATAAAAAACTGAAAACGTACACATGTATAAATATATATATATGTCTGAGGCTTGATCAAATGGCCCTTATTATCCTCTGAGATTGAATAAATATATCTGTAAATATTTTTATGTAATTTTATTATATTTCAATTAAAGCAAATTATAATTTATTTATACTTTCTCAATATAATTTTTCGCATTGTTTAGGAATTATCACATTAAAGATATATCTTGTACAAATGATATATATACATATGCAATAGATAATTAATAAATGAACCTATTAAATTTGATGACCATATGGTTGAGGTTGTTAAGGAGTTAGCTTACTACTATGATGGACCAGGGATTAAATCTGAGTGAGCAACCCAGTCCCTCACCATTCAACCAAACTCATGATTGGTATGGAAAAAAGGCCCTCTTAATAGTGCCCATAGGATGGAAAGAAAAATATAGAATTTCTTGATTAAAAACATCATTGAATAAATGAATAAGGTGCTAACTTATTAAAAATACAATTATGCTTAAAAATTTCTCCCAATTTTAAGGTCAAATATTAAAATTTCTTTAAATATTTCGTTGATAAATAATAAAATATTTTTCTATTTTCTTGCATTTATAATAAAAAAAATGAGACTATTTTAATATAAGTTTATTTTATATCATATACAAGTGTATATTTATATCAACAACTTATATTAAATTATTTAAGAAATATTTATGTTTACATAATAATATCTTGTTTGCAAATTGTGAAACTATTCAAAATTCATTTTTAATAAAATATTTTTTATTTTAAATCACCAATAAGCTATAAAATTCAGTTCTACTAGCTAAATCTTATAGCTTAAAAGAATAGAAAAGTGTTATTTTGGTAAATAAATTTTTCATCCTCTTTAAAAAGCCAAAACAAAATCAGTTATGATAAAGTATTTGATACAATGTACTAATACTGTATTCTTTATTTTCTAATATAGAACCATTTACAAAGCAATGCAAATACTTAATCAATGAGATTATAAAGTGACTAAAATACATATTTAGATATTTAATAGCTTATTAGTAAGAGCTGTTAATAAAAGTTAATGAATGAATAAACTCAATAATTAAATATATATATAATTTTTTATTTATTTTAAGACATTGTATATTTAGAGGTTTGCTATTAATTATATGTACAGTTTTTGAACCACTTTTTATCCCCTTCCTGTTATGTACAGTACAGTAAAATGTACTTTTAGCAAACACCTCCCTTTAATTAATTATAATAGTGTAAAATTTCCATTATTATTAAATACTGGTTATTGATTATTTTTGGTATGGTATTATACAGTTTATTTCCAAGGTTAGAATCTCGGCTTTTACCATTAAACCTGGCTTGCTTAATTTTTTCCAGCTCCAATTACATCATAAAACTGGAGAGTATTATACTTCTATCCTATTTACAGCTCTGACCATAAATTGATCCTCCTATATTGCCAAATACTACTGCATTTATATAAAACTATTTTATCTAGCATTATCAATTCTGTAACAGTAAACAAAAGAATCAATATGTAAATCACTATAATTATTAGAGGAATAACTGCAATAACGCTCATTATATTCAGCCTGAAGGAATAATTGATTAAAAATGATAGCATGACAGACACACAGGATCAGTATAAGTTTTTCAAATTACAAATTTGTACATATTATCAACAGAAGTTATATTAAATGTCACGAGATATGACATTGGAAGATAATTTTAAGACATTTAACATTACAGTTTAAATGCAGTTTAGTTAATTTGTGTATTACAAATCTTGTATTTTATAAATATTTAGAAAGATCAATCAATTATAAAGTAAATTTTACCTGATTTTTCAGTTCAATGAATCCATGTTTTCCCAATTTAGGATCATAAAGAGCTTTTGGAGCATCAACTATTTCAGTTTTGAAGAATTTCTTTCCATTTTTAATAGCTCTATAAACTGTAAACAATAAGACAATCCACCCATAGAAAATTGGTAAAACCAAGAGGAGGATGCTTTGTATCAGTTGTCTGACTTCAGCCATGTCTGAAAAAAGAATTTCTAGATAACTTACTTATCTTTGTAGATATGAATTTATCAATTATTGAGTTTCTAAGTGTAGTGATATAATTAAAATTATATATTTTAAACATTTATATTAGCTGCAAATTATTTTATTTAGGGGGTGGCTCAAACGTCAATAAACTGTGTTTTGTGTTTGTGTTTGTGTTCCACACTTAATTTTAAATATGAATAATAAACTTAGTTTAAAAATATATATATATATTTTTTTACTTTCGACAGGAAAATGGTCCCTATTTAGGTATTCAGACACGTCTATCAAGAGGGGTTCCAGGATAGAGCAAGTTCTTTTTATCTGTATGTCCCTAAGTTTTCTCCAGGTCCAGGAAAAAATTTCCAGCTTCTCTTCTCTCAATGGCTCTGGTTAGACTTGTGATAAAAACCCATAAAACTCTGCATGGCCAGCCTGTTGGTGAGGCATAAACCCAAGAAAAACTATCAGTATTTACCAATGTTCAATGGTTTATCCACTTGGCTATTGATGGGTACCACAAAATGGCATAAAGAAGCTTCATTTTATGGTTAAGATTTGATGAATTCTATAAAAATCAGGTAATTATAATTTTGCAGATAATTCATTAGTGAAGACATAGGTGGTCACTTCACCACAAACATTAATATCTACATATAAACACCTTCGGCACAAGAAAACAGTGAGGTATGAGGTCTGATCACCTATGAAAAATTCCTGAATACATGATCCAATTTGAATCTGTCCTTCAGAGAAGCAGCCTGACAACTTAACTTACATGTTATATTATAAGTAAGGTAAGAAAAAACATACCTGATAATGATAATGAGTAGCAGGAATAAGGAAAATAAGTAAGCTATATATATATCATCAAGGTTACCTGTCAAAAGCAAAGAAATTAATAAGGTTAAAAATAATTTTAAATGTTAATGTGTATACAATGAATATAAAATTGTCTTAAAATCAGAATGAATTTACATAACATTTACCAAATTATGAAAACTGTTTATAGCTTTAAGAAAGCAAAAACTTTGGCTCCTTCAATTTATTGCTATAATAATAATTTTTTATTACATTCAACCTTGAATATGTTACATAAGATGATATATTATTGCCTTCAGGCACCATTTACACAGGTATTCGATAGAATGGTAATAAATTTCAAAATATAATCAAACCCTCAATATAGCGCAATCCTCACAAGCGTCAATGAATACATGTGAATGGATATTCACCATTAAATATTAAATAAATAAGCTTTCGATATCTGTTAATTTGGTTGGGATCACGGACAGTTTTATGTGAATTTCGCAACAACTCTTTGGCTTTACAATAAGAAATTCTGAAGAATGTCGTCAAATTTATGTAGAAATCTGCAGTATCTCAACCAATCAAACAGACCTGTAGATTTTGCATTGCTGATTAAATTGGATTAGATTATGGATTAAGGCAGTGCAACACATGGGCAATTAGCCAAGATGATGTTTCCCAGGAAAACTTTCCATGAGAAACTGGCTCCACCTGAAGAAAACCCGGAAAACTTTCAAGCAGCTATGCAGCTAGCCCTTGATCAGGCCAAATCTGCGACCAGTGTTCATTGTGGTGTCCTGATGGACCAGATCAAATTTATATCACCCTATCATATGACTTTTAAACTGTGTAGACTTTAGGGTCCACCAGTAACCAAGTGGTTGTGGGTTTGGCCTTGCCAACAGGCTGGCCACATGAAGCTTTCTGAGTTTTTTTCACATTTGTAACACCTAAACAAGGATCATTTCCTCTTAGAATGTCTTCCTGGGAGGCTTTTCCCTCGGAAGATTGCCCATCTGTCATGTTACCGTAAACAAATAAACAAATACTGGTCGTGGGTGTGCACCTCATCAATGTGCTTGCTACATGGAATTTTCTGGATTTACTCCACTTGCTAATACCTAAAGAGGGGCCAGTTTTCTATAGGAGGACCTTCCTGGAGCATCCCTCCTTGGCAGATCACCTTTGTGTTGCATTGCCTTAGCCCATCAATCCTGGTGTAGCCATCATTGCTTGAAACATTTCAATTTAGCACCAAACTTGATTTAGTGTTAATTTCAGATGTGTTAAATCAAAGTTTTACTGTGTAGTGAGTACATAACCAGTTAGATGGGTGATAAAGACTATTTTAGTTTGAAAATACTCATACTTGGGATCTTTCCATTCACCATTTTGAAAAATTAAATTTATGTTAAATTCAAAATTCACCTACCTTTTACTTCCGAGTAAACTGAATTATGTTTAAAATCTGAACAAAAATTACATCTTGACTGTAACAAGCATAAACATTTGTATAAGGAAAATATTAATAATGACAACCAGGAAAAATATTCAGGAAATTCTTCCAACAGCATTTAAACACAAATACAGGTATACCTCGCCTTACGTCGGTAATTGGTTCCAGGAGAACGACGTAAGTCGAATTTGCTTGTCTCTGAATCTACTTATCACTAGGCTAAACCATAAATTACCATTCCCGGTTCTGTATTTTATTTATTAATGCATTTTTAATAATATATGGGTAATAAAAATCTATTTTAAGCTTACAAACAAATAAATTTTAGTTTTTCATATAGTACAGAAAAAAGTAATCTAAATTTACGAATGCATGTACTGTAAATACAGTTCATACTTGTATATATTTTAATATGATTTTATGTGCTTTAAACGTTTTTCTAGTGATATTACGACTTCAATATTTGTAGCGGACAGACGTAAAGTCGAATAAAATGACTTAAACTTGATTTTTATTTTTCCATATACTTTTTTGACAAATGACGTATAATCGGGAACGACGTAAGTCGAGGTATGCCTGTATTTCTTTCAATTGTCATTGTTTAGTAAAAACAATGCTATTTTTAATGTTGAAATAAGAAGGAAAATGATAGCATGCAAGAAACTCATACAATTGATTCCTGGAAAAGAAAGATGAAGAGGATTGATGGATTGAGGCAACGCAACACTTGGGGGATTTCACCCAGAGGACTTCAAGTGGAAAACTGACTCCTGTTAGGTGTTAGACATGTGAAGAAAACCAGGTAAACACCACATGACCAGCTCATTAGTGGTGTGTGAACCTGCGACTAACTGCCAGTAGTATTCTGGAGTTTTATCCACTCAGTCATTGGTGGACACTGTGATAAAGCAAATCGTTGCATTTTATATCAGCTACTTTTTTTTTTCTTTTGAACTCTTTCTGTTCTATGGGCACTAAAGGGCCTTTTTAGCAAGTTCCTTATGGGTTTGATCAGGCCCACAATGGGGCAAGGCCTGACATACCTGAATTGACCATCCTACAAAAAATTCTTGGTTTTTTGACCAATCTGGATTTGATCTTGGGTTTCTTTTTTATCATTTTTTGATGTATCAATAGTTTCTTAAGGGTATTTGTATTTCAGAATGCTTTGACACTGAATGGCTCATTGTAACTGAGTCGAGCAAAAATACAGGGGAGGAGACTAACATATCCAGATCTCAAAGAAAGATCTTGTATTAAGTGTAATTTGTTTTAATTCTTGAAGCAATAACACTTTTATATATCCGTATTGTTTATATTATTTCGACCTCTGAGATTAGATTCTAGATCTGCCACTGATTTCATCTAGAATTACTACTTTTTTAGACAAGACTGATGTCCGACAACTGATACAAAGCATCCTCCTCTTGGTTTTACCAATTTTCTATGGGTGGATTGTCTTATTGTTTACAGTTTATAGAGCTATTAAAAATGGAAAGAAATTCTTCAAAACTGAAATAGTTGATGCTCCAAAAGCTCTTTATGATCCTAAATTGGGAAAACATGGATTCATTGAACTGAAAAATCAGGTAAAATTTACTTTATAGTTAATTGATCTTTCTAAATATTTATAAAATACAAGATTTGTAATACACAAATTAACTAAACTGCATTTAAACTGTAATGTTAAATGTCTTAAAATTATCTTCCAATGTCATATCTCGTGACATTTAATATAACTTCTGTTGATAATATGTACAAATTTGTAATTTGAAAAACTTATACTGATCCTGTGTGTCTGTCATGCTATCATTTTTAATCAATTATTCCTTCAGGCTGGATATAACGAGTGATATTGCAGTTATTCCTCTAATAATTATCGTGATTTACATATTGATTCTTTTGCTTACTGTTACAGAATTGATAATGCTGAATAAAATATGTTATATATGTTGTTTTTCTAGCTTTAGTTATATCATAAAACTGGAGCATATTATACTTGTATCCGATTTGCAGCTCTGACCTTGAACTGATTCTCCCATATTGGCAAACGCAATAGTATTTGCCAATATAGGATGATCAATTCAAGGTCAGAACTGTAAATCGGATACAAGTATAATACACTCCAGTTTTATATAATTGGAGCTAGAAAAACAATTAAACCTGGCAAAAATTGAGGTTTTACCCTTGGAAACAAACTGTATAATACCATTTTACATAATCTTAATAGAAAATTTGTACCCATTATTCAAGAAGGGATTTAGATGTGTGACTCTTAAGTTATTAGCATACAGAAGGCTTTTCCTTCAATCAAATTGAGGTAAAAGTGTGAGGCCCTAAACTCTTAATTGTGTAGCTTGTAAATTGGGTTCTAGATGTATTTGTTCTGTTGGTTTATTAGCACATTATTTCTTACTAGTTCCATTATAACTGTATTGTAAAATTGTATATAATTTCTGTTTGATAAATATGAATACAGATTACCGTGATTGATTAGAGACATGTAACATTTCTCAGGATAAAGTTCATTGATTAAAAATACATTTCATTAATTGTTTGATATCCAAAGGTAGACAATAAACTTGTGAGTAGTTTTTTTGACAATTTTTAGCTGTAATTATTTACAGTTTTCATGTAAACTTGAATAAAACTAAAATGAGAGGTAACCAGAAAATGAGTTAAGATCTAACTGGATATATTGTGGCGAACTCCACCCTTCACATCTTAACTGTCGTGAAAAACAAGCAATGAACCCCAGTGGTACGAGTCATCACTTCCTGGAACAAGTTCAAACTCACCCGTAATTGAGACATGTACCATATATGCGAGAAGGCAATAAACTCAGTTTTGTTACGATTTCATCTCATTCACTTTTATCACACACAGTGATGAAAATTAGAAACAATAGAAACAAAAACCCAACAATAGGTTATCAAATCTAGTTACTGTATATAGAAGAATTGTCTAAAGAGTGTTATAAGATATACAGAGAGCATTTATTTATGCTAATTTATATTGATTTACTTAAAAACAAGTCACAATATTTCATAATAAATGACTTGCTATGACATTAATATATTAATGTCATAGCGAGTCATTAATACGACTCGCTATGTAATAAATTAATATGACAGTAACATTTGATTTTGTGAATAAGTAAATGCTATTTTAGGAGTTTTGTTGTAAATACATAACAAAATCACAAAAGCACAGTGTATTGTATAGTACTTTATTAATATAGGGCTTACGTCTCCATTATGTGGAAGCTGGAGATAGAAATAAACCATTAGTATTACTCCTGCATGGCTTTCCAGATTTTTGGTACAGTTGGAGACATCAGATCCCTAGATTGGCTCAAAAATATTGGTAAGATCAGTTAAATAAATACAATTCATCTGTTTTTTATCATAAGTAATTAGCTAAACAATGGTTTTTTAGGGTAGTAGCTGTAGATTTGAGAGGATATGGAGAATCTGATCATCCTTCAGATGTGAAAGCTTACCTAATTAAAGAATTATACGAAGATGCCAACGAACTTATTACATCTTTTGGTAAGTTGATGTATTTAAATTTCACTATTTGTTAGACTAACCAATACAATAATTGACTGATTATAGGAAGAGATTCAGCTATAGTTATTGGTCACGATTGGGGTGGCATAATAGCTTGGTATCTTGCCATTTTGCATCCTGAGAAAGTTAAGAAATTAATTATCATCAATAGTCCTCATCCAAGAGCTTTTTCTTCTGTTGTAAGAAGAAGCTTGAAACAATTTCTTATGAGCTGGTAAGTGTGTTATGTAAATAAGTGTAGCTTTAATATTGTTTTAATGCGTTATTTTATCAATTCAGATTCAATTTGATTTGGATATTCTCAGTTTTTCACAATAGCATGTGTTTGTACATTGTTCCTATTCTTCATTCATTCTGGGTGATCTCATTGAGAATCAGATTCCTCTGTCATAGTTATAAGGTTTATTAAAATGTTCATTTGAACCTTATATATATGGAATAGGATTTAAGATAGGAGTCCATAGGGGTTAAGATAGACATTTAAGATGAGGTGTGGACCATCATAAATATGGAACATCATCATTGCTTATGACTTCTGCATTAAAGCCATCCACAAGGAAGGCGAGGAGAAGCAATTGCCCTTCTTGAGATTTTTTTTAAACTCTGTCCTTTGGACACTAAGAGGGTATCTGCTGGATTTGCTTTAATCTTTCTTCTTGGTTAGTAAATCAATTGGTTAGTTAGTTCATTTAATGTATTTATTTTATTCCCTTAAAGCAAAATATTTTCAACACTTGTTTCCTATCATGATTTTACAAGAGAGATTAAATTGTATGGTCCTTTTGTGTACAGGATTCTAGCCAAACAGACTTTATTGTATTATTGCTATGTGAATTTTTACATCAAAATTTGTTTGCAAAAGATACTCTTATATTTTCAAATTATATATTATGTGTATTCATTATTATTTACATCAACAGGTATATGTACTTCTTTCAATTACCATTTCTACCCGAGATTTATATTCGAGCCAACAATTTATCTACTTTATCAAAGATATATCAGGGAAAAAACAAAAACCGTTGCACTGATGAAGAACTGGAATGCTATAAACACGTGTTCTCCCAACCAGGTAAGTTTTTAATATATTTATAATATTATAAACTTATATTACAGGATGGCATAAAAGTTAGTTAGCCATTATAATGACTAAATTGCTGTCTTATTACATGCTACACTTTAACAAATTTAATTTGTGATTCAGTTGCAAAGTTTATGTGAAAATCATAAACAGTTAATTGACTTTGGGGCCACCCATATAAGTGTGTAGTTGCGTATATACATTAATGTGAGAATCTGAGAAAATCATACAAATTCTCTAACTAATTTTTATACTTTCAGGTGCACTTACTCCTCCTTTAAATTATTATAGAGCAAATTTAAAAACTGTAGATAAAAATGAAAAAGACCTAACTGGCAAAGGTAAAGTGGATACCCCAACTTTAATAGTTTGGGGTGATCGTGACATAGCATTATCAACAGATTTGGTTAAAGCTTCTATAAAACATTGCAACAATTTGAAAATAGAAATGATAGAAGGTGCTGGTCATTGGGTACATCACGAGAGACCTGAAACAGTTAACAACCATATTGAGAATTTTTTGAAAAATTAATTTTCTACATGTTGTCACATAACACTTATGTAAGGTTTTTTCTAGAATTTTGATAATGTACATTGCAAAAATATTTGTTTATTAAATTTGAATCTTTAAAAGTGTCTTGTCTTTATTGATTTTTTCCCTATAAATATGATTCAATTCTGTAAGCACTAAGAATGCCTTTTCCAGTGTTCATCATGGGTTCATCCAGGCCTACAATGAATGTTATCAGGTAGTGTTTTTTTTTTTTTTTTTAATACTCTTTCCACCTCTTTCTTATAGCAGGCCCACAATGGGGCAACCTGGTGATGAGGGACGGGGGCTTGACATATCCAAATGGACCACTCCCCGAAAAATTTCTGGGGGTTCCTTGACCCACCTGGATTCGATCCCCCAGAACGGTAGGCTGCCACCTTGAAGGGTCGGCCATCCAGTCTAGTATCTGTATTAGGTACTGTATTTCCTGCGGATGCGCAGTTTTCTGGCTTAAAGTGTCATGGGGTATATTCTGCATCCTTTTCATATAGCGCCATCTGTTAGCAAAAAATAAATGCTAATTGTTGTTGGTTTGTTGATATATTTTTGATTTTCGGATTGTTGGTAATAGATTGTGACAATACCGCCAAATAACTTAATGCATGCCTAAAGGCATCATCACTATAGAATCACATTAAAAAGTTATCCCTTTCGACGAATATCAGGGTCTGTCTACAGGAGAGTTTTTTAGTTTCATTGTTATAAATACTCAGGCCAATAATTGCACATTTTAGTTACTATGGCCATTGTTTTTATCACACTTTATCAATTCCACACCCCTCAAAAACCTGAGTACGCTGGGCACACGTCGCTACTTAATCTGTATACTGTATATAAAAATGTTGGTTTGTCCTTTACACAAAACTTTATTCTTAAACTGATTTGGACCAAAGTTTGTATGAGCATTACTTAGACTCTAGAATCGACATTAAGCTATACAGTTCCAAAAAATATTGAATTAATTTCATTATTATCAATTAATTTCGGCCTACATCTGACTTGCTACCGGTACATGTAGCGCCATCTATTGGCAAATAATTTTTAAAATAATTAAATTAAATTCATACAAAGAAAAATATAATTTAAAAAGCAAATATTATTTATATTCACTTAATTACTGCAACAATGATATATTTTGGAACGAGCAATTATTTATTGTGACGTCGTCACAATGCCGGGCTGCAATTTTTAATCATATTTTTAATTTATTTAAGTTAAAATTTATGCTCTCTACCTCAGATTAGTAGTGTATGTCCTGTATCTTATCCTGGCATTAACACTTTCGAATCCACGCACGTGAGTGCTACGTGCTACCAATCGCAGTAATGTTATAATGCTTCTATTGGATGATTTTTGAGAGCAGAGGCGAGTAAGCAGCTATTTATTTGTTGTTCACTCCTTTTTTCAGTATATGCACTGTTACTTTTCACTCTCATTGTTGTGGAAAATCTGCCATCTTTTGGCTTTCGTCATCTGTACAGGGGGAAGCCATCGTCTCCGGTTTCAGTTTCTGCTTTAATTAAATTCGCGAGGATATTTCTTGATACACTTTCTATCTTTCGTGCAAGCTGAATTTGGATTAATTGGCCCACATGGTCCAAGAATCACATGTTCTTTTACAACGTCAAACAAAACGGGATCTTCTTCGGCGTTTGGAAACTCCGTCGAAATTATGCTGTTAATTTGAGTCTAGTAAACTTTTTCTTTAAATTGTGAAAACCATATAAGTAATATAGTTTTCTATATATAACAGGGCCCACCAATGGCCAAGCGGTCTTCGTACACTGAACACTGGGAGTTCGGTCGTGGGTTCGCTCCTTGCTCGGACGGGCTGGCCACGTGGAGTTTTCCGGGTCTTCTCCACGCCTGTAACCCTTAAATACAGACCAGTTTCCCTTAAAAAGACCCCCTGGAAGGCAGCGCCCAAGTGTTGCGTTGCCATAACTATACCAAACTATATATAACAGGTATAAATATAGTAATATATATTCTAAATTTTCAAATGGCTATTAATATGCCTCAAAACCAAACTTATCATAACCACCACAAATGACTTTTAAAGTGACATTAGGAATTATCTGGTGAAATCATTCTTTTTCCATTTCCCTTCCTTCTTTTCAGTGAACATCACACTGAATCCAGTGCCTTAACTAGTAGTCATCCCTGTGCCCTGTGCAAAGAATTTGCATTTAGGCCCCTTAATTAATTAGGTTTGGGAAAATAATAAAACAAATGCATGCATTTTGGACCCCCCTTCCAAGTAGACCCCGTTACGGCACTGCGGATATCAACAGATCCACTCATTCATAGTGTGGTAGCAGCAAAAGCTCATAATTTCTTAAAAATACATCTTTTGAAGAAATGTTTTAGATAAAAGTTTGTTTGCTTTTGATGTAGAATCATAACATACAATAAAAAATGGGGGGATTCACATTTAAGAAAATGAAGTTGAACCCATTTTTTATCGATTGCTGCAACATCTATGATGAAACCGATAGTCCCATCTTGTGGTTCCTTGAAGTGTAATACAGTAGAACCTCGAAAACTCGTCCCTCGATAACTTAGCACTCCGGATAACTGGTCTATACCTTGGCAGGGCGAAAAAATCCTTAGTTAATTAATTTTCATTATAGACAGCTTTATAAAAGTATAAAAGCTCTCATAAAGTATTTTTCTGAGGTCTGTCTTATCAGGTAAAT